CACGTCAGTGATTGTTTTGTGATAAACAAAATATAGTTCACCTTACAAGTAATGAAGAAATATCTAAAATTGAGAAAACATACTTTTAAAAACATCTTCAAGTTTCTCTAGTCCCTGACGGGCAAGCCATTGTTCGACAAACGCCTCGTCTTTCCCGATGAACTCATCTATGGCACTTTCCAAAATCGAATGCCCGGGGGTCGCCCCGGGGTACGCAAATGCCCAGCCCCCGGGCCGCGATAAAATTGCGGATGTCCCACCCCCGGGACTGACAACGTGAGCAAATGCCCCACGGTTGCCCAGGGGGGGATGGCCACTGCTGGAATTGACTGATGCATAAAGCGAGCATGTACTGTGCATTTAAATCAGGTTTTTTGAAATAGGATTTCAAAATAGGGCTTGACGGCTTTCTTTCCGTCCTGAGTTTTAAGTTTGCTTTTCAGTTTTTGCAATCACTTAAATTTTCCAGGAGAAGAAAGAGAACCGGTTTACACGACAGTTCTTCGGAATATTGAGCAAGCATTACTTTGTTATGAACATGTTATTTCAAAAATACTTAAACCGATTTGAGCCTTGATTAGTTAGGCTCGATTACCAGCCGCTGTTCGAGAAAGGAACCCGCGCTATTTCCCCGAACTGTCTTCTCGAGAAGAACTTAAACCCGACTGCCGCTTCAACGTATACTTGGTGGAGTTCAAAAGGCGAAAAGACTACATTTTCACTTCGTACAGACGGTAGCACACAAAGGTATTCTGCCCCTTATTCCCAAAGTGTCCTTTGATATCAGAAATTGCATCTATAAAGCGTCAAGACAGATCTTCTGGGCGGAGGGGGGGGGGGGGGGGGGGGGAGGAGAGTCAAACTAGAGTACACTTAGACTTGATCAAAGGGCCATGTGAAAGAGGTCCCAAGTAAGAATACAAAAAAAAAAGACAATAAGCTTGAAAATATGTCTAGGAGCAAGTATTACCAGGAGCCCGTATTGCTTAAAATTTAGCACCCTGCTTTCCATCCCCCCGACCACACACACACCCGCAGCATTTTAGTTCCACAGGTGGGTGAATATGTGGAGTATGTCGTGAGTATGGGCATCTTCTTCCAAAACAATCTCGTTCCCAGGGGGAAGCCCTCGGAACAAGGTTGACTTTCTTCGCTTTTCCTAGCTACTAAACCAAAATGTAGCTTAGCAGTACAAGCAGAGTAATTGATTGCCAAACATCATCACGGCAAATTTAACAGAAATTGTCGAATTTAACCAACGTTTTAACTGGTATATGCGCTGAGTACTGAAACCATCCCTTATTAAACAGTTCGCCGGTGCTCATTTATACTCTCGGGTGGCAAAGAGACGCTGTGTGTGTAAAAAAAGAACACAGCACAAGAATCCCAACAACACGAGGTCTCGGATCGAACGACACCTTTTTAATTACAAATTGAGTTTGCTAGCTGAGCTTTCATGCACGCCACCACGCCTCTTACTCCAGACAGCTTTGGTACCAAGTCTAATATCCCTCCCCTTTCTACCGCCCAAATCAAATCAAATCAAATCAAATCAATGTAACAGTACTTGCCTACCAATAAATAAAATCTTCAAGCGAATGGAGAGCTTTGAATCAGTACTTGTGACAGCAACTTTCAAAACAAAAGCATTAATATTCCATTAGTTTGTATTTGTGTTCAATGTATGAGTAATCCGGGTGACCAAAACAAAGGAACAACAGTTTGTTTATTTATACCAAATGCTCTCCCGCCACCAAAAAAAGAAGCATCGGTCAAAATCAAGTTCACTGGGCACTCGGGGTTCAAAGGAAACTTATCAATGTCAACAGCGCTGTAATTGACTCAACCCAAAACGTAAATTGCCGGAACAATTACTTATGAGCTAACCTGTGGGGCACCTGTTAAGGTAAAGAAAGAGCCCATACCTAGTACCAGTTAAGCGTTTGTTTAACACGGCGTTTATTGGCATTCAAGTGCAAACTTTGATGGCAAAACATTAGCACGAGGTACAGGCAGAAATGTCTGTTTTCTCCTGGCTGGAAATTCGTGAATTTACACCATGCCAGTTAGTTGCTCTATACGAAAAATAGATTTATAAAGTCTTCACATCCGATCGATGGTAAGTGAAAGACATTATTGAGACAAAAGTGACCCATAATTCACCCTTTTCCTATGTTTAATTTCCTTTCACTGCCAGCAAACACTTCAGAGCAGAATTTGCTAGGCGGAGACCTTAAAGTATTTCCATAAACAGCTAAGACAGGCATAAAGTTATTTTTAGCCTCTTGATAAATGTAAGTTCCTAATCAGAACAGAGGCACTAGGCAGATGCATTATGGGAGGTGAGGGCTAGATGATCAAGTCGTCGAGCGATACGAGAAGATTACGCTCCAATCCAGCGTGACTTGCAAGTCTCACGGTCTCCTCGATCTACTGGCTACAGAGTTGGAAAGTTTAGGTGAAAAATTTACACCACCCCTATCCTAGTTCTTGATTAGAAAAACGACGGAATTTTGGTCGGTTTTAGGGCGAACTCATCATTGATTGTTGAGGACAGGGGCGAGGGGAGGGGGGGGGGATGTAACGTCTCTTTTTCTTTCTTGATTTTACCCCAGGCCTCTCTCTCACGTAACCGGCTCCGCTTTCTGATAGCGTAGAAATGCATGACATGAGAGGCCATGCTTTTCGTTTTCTTGAGGCAGCGTAAAACTGTCTGCTATAAAATGTTTCACTTTCCGGCAGGGATAGGGGAAGTCGTGAGTTTTCATTTTCGGTAAAACTCCCATTTGATAATTTCAGGCTATAAACACATAAACACATCGTTAAGCTAGTTTTGATGGCACGATATCCGATAGTATGTTGCTTCTTGATTGCAATTTTTTGTCTGCGACCTATTTCTGTCCCAAATAGGTATTTAATTTGCGTCTGAGTAGCTCAGGAGTCACTCGTTTACTGTATTCTTCAGTCTCTCACCACTCTCACTACATTAATGAGCACTCCGTCTATTTGGTGGGATATCAACGAAGATATACTCAGAAGAAAATTATAACCAAACAAAAAATTCAAAAGACACTTGTCTTTTGAAACGCAATGATGTTTGTCAGTGACGTTTGTTATGTGTCATTACGCTATCTCAAATATAAAAGAAGGTTTTCAACACGAGTTTCAGTTTCTTATTTCCTTTTCGAATATAATTTGTCACGGAAATGAAAAGAATTTACATAAAATCTCGGTATTTTGTTTCTTAGTATATACTGCTTCAATTTCAGCTCTGTTTGCCATTCAGACGAGGATGCCATATTATTATTGTCACCCAAGAAACAGCCAAAAACTCAATTAATAATACCAGGCAACATTAAGGTTTTGACTTCAATTTGCCAAAAATAATGAATTGGATGCAAACATCACAATTTTAAATTTTATTATGTGTTGATTTGGTGCTTTATTGTATTTGGTTTCGCACGAGGGAGCTATTTTAGAGCATATTTTGAGGCAAAAAATTCCCCCCTCATTTCATTCGGGGTTTCGACTTCCGGTCTTCAGTGATATTTGGGGGGTCCAGCCCTGCAAAGCGGAAGCCCTCGCGTACATAAAGTGATGTGGTTGCAAGTTTAGTGTGTATTGTGAAGTCCATGCCTATAATACGATACATTGTACCTTATTGCTGCAGGGAAAGACAGGCTGAGGGTTTATAATCGACATGGTTGTGATCATAAAGATGAAAGGTCTTCCCTGGGAAGCCACAGCCCGAGACATTAGGAAATTTTATCGAGGACTTAACATTAGCGAGGAAGACATTCACCTAGCTCCAAGCCAAGAAGGAAAGGCATCTGGATTTGCTTTCGCTTGCTTTCAAGAGGACGACGAAGCCAGGAAAGCTATGTACAGGAATGGAAATTACGTGGGAAAACGATATATTGAGCTTGTACTAAGCAGTCAGTCGGAAATGGAGAAAACTTTGAGCGAGGGTGTGCGTTTTCGCCGTTTTGACGGCTCGGATCGTGAGCGTCCACCTGAGATTGAGACACTCCGGACTGAAAGTAAAACAAAGTCCATTGATTTGAGAGAGAGTTCAAAGATTACTCGAGATATTTCTCGACGATCACGAAGTCGAAGCCCAATCCGGAAAAGCGCTTCTGTTGATGGATTGAGGAGCCGTAGGGATCATGGTGGGTCGAATCATGTGAGTGATCGACGATCGGTTACCAGTAAGAAGTTTAATGACCGTGAAAGTTTGCGTAGCACAAATAGTAGTGCTAATGGACTGGCAACAACTCGAAACGAGCTGGATCGGCGGCCACGGGAGAGGGAAAGGGAACGAAGAAGGAGTTCTGACAGAAGTGAGCTTGGTAAAATCTCAGCTAGTTATGGCAGGGATAGGGAAGGCAGAGAGACTCGACTGGAGACTTCAGGTGCAAGGCAGGGAGCATCAAATGGTTTTAGACGCGAGCCCTTCAGCAGCAACAACAGAAGCCGGCGAGACTCAACTAGCCAGGATGGTGCAAATTCCAAATCCACATGGGTTAGCATGAATGGGTTACCCTACAGTGTCACTGAGAGCGAGATCCTTCAGTTTTTCTCAGGGCTGAATGTTGTGGGTATCCATCTGATGGTGCACACGTCAGGACCTTTTGCTGGGAAACAAAATGGCCATGGATATGTGGAATTTAAGTCAGTTGGGGACTGTATTCAAGGAGAAGACAGAAACCGCCAATTCATTCGAAGGAGGTATTGTGGCGTTAAGCGGTGCAGCTTCGAGGAGGTGTTGAATGCTCTGGGAGACAAGATTGAAAACTCTTGGAGATTTCAGGAACCTAACACCATTATTGGGGGTAATTTCTCTCAGGAGAGTGCAATGTATTCCGTAGGGAACATGAATGGGGAAGATCAGAATCTTTCAACTCCTGACCTGGGTATGGCTGTGAACAGTCTTGGGGTGAATTCTGTGGGAAAGATGCCTATTCCACACAATGCAGTTGTGGGTATGGAGGGTCCTTTGAATCCTGTCAACCAGCTAGCAGCTGGTGCTAATATAAGTGTGAATGATATCAGTGCAGGATGTGTGATTGGGATTCGTAATCTGCCCTCCACTGTTTCGGCAGAAGAAATTTTGGATTTCTTTTATGGGTTCCCAATCATTCCAGACTCGATACGCATCCATTACCTTGCTCCTGGGCGATCATCTGGGGACGCCATGGTTACACTACCTACCAGTGGGGAAGCCTACAGTGCAATTGAGCAGCTAAACAATAAACCTGTTGGAAAACGTAAAGTACAGCTATTTTTGGTTTAAGTAGAGGGCAGGAAGATGCAATTTCTTCTTAAGTGTATCAAAGTGTTTCAGAATTCATACCCAGCTTAATTGATTTTTCTCAATTTGAAGCACTGTATGACAATGTATTCAGAGGGCTAGGGGATAGTTTTAGGTAGTTTTTGCTTGTAATATGTATTACAGATGGCTAAACTTTCGTAATATTACGATAACAAAAGCTAGTTTATCAAGAGGCTGATAGTCCAGTATTACTCTGTACAGTTGTTAGTAGACAGTAGTGACTTGACTTGTCTAAACATAAAATTTTAATGACTTTTCAGTAGTTTATAACTCAAGAGACAAAAAGAAATGTATATATTGTACCAGCCTCTTTTTGCGAGTCAAGTGTAGTAGCTTTTATAAGTGTTTAGGAAAGATTTGGTGATCGTTTAAAGTGGTATTTTTGTCAGTTTTTTAGCCACTTGATCCATTTAAGGGCCTGTTTCACACCATATTTTTGGCTCAGCATGTTTACTGGCTTGACAAAGACCTTTTTGTGGGCAACAGAAATGGCTGGATTTTGTCAAGATCCATTCAACTATTGGCATAGAGTTTAAGAGAAAGAGAGAGGGTTCCAGTTGTATTGAGTGGTGATAGAATACTGTTTCATAATATCCATGTTAAGTGACAGTATTTTTTATTGGGAACTGTTAATAATTATTAACCAAGTTACACAGCCATTCAACTGGCATTTTGGTCAATTTTCTACATATCTTGGGTATTTTTAACCCTTGGATGAGGCAGGGAGGAAGTATTTTGGGTTCACTTGAGCAAACAACAGGTCAAGGCAAGTGCTCCTCATAGAATTTTGGTAACTTTGTCAGTGTGGCAAGAAATCAACCTAAAATATTTGATCTGTGTAACAGAACAACTTCACTTGAAACAATTTTTTTTTATACCATGGCCAAAGTTTCGTATGTATTAAAGGTCTTTTGTAGTAAGAAATGTTGTGTTCAGGATTTTCTGCTGTTATTCTCTGAAATGAGTTTTGGTGCAGTAAGTACAATGTTGGTTTATTGTGCTGTGGCACAAGGGTTCTCTGATGTGAATAATTTTGTCCTGTTATGCTTCAATGGTCTCTGCAATTTTCCATGTTGATGGCCACGCGCTAAATCAACTACAATGAAAGATCCATCGCAGTTATGGTGAGTGGAATGCACACAAAATTTACATGGCAGACTCCAATGGAAATTCATTGGGAAGGTTACAAGCAAGAGGTCTTAAGAAGTCTAAGAAGATGTCTCGTTCAGTCGAGACCAGCTCTTTGTTTACGTTTTGCATGCCATCAGATTGTACGCCCTTTGTCGCCTGGGTGTCACGCACGCAGCAGAAGTTTCTGGCGTCCGGCACGCAATATTTTATTGTTCTATTCCATCGATCAAGCATGCATCGATCATGTGCCTTAGTGATTAAGCATGCTAATTTCTAAGCTGTCTAAGCTCTCCTGAGCTCAAAATGTGAAATTTCATACGCTGTATACATTCATTTCAATCATAATTGGCGGAATTTTATAGCCGCAAGTAAGCAATTTCTTTTGTATCTAATTGAAGAGACATCAAGTTGTATTTGTACAGAAAAAAACTCAGAGGATAAATCAAAGAGTCTCACGCCTTGAGGTGGTCATCAGACAGGCTTTAGTACGATAAAAAATTTACCTTGGCTAATAAGCCGCAAAAACGATGACACTGCTGATTAATTAAGATTTAGGGTATATTTAGCTACTCAGTTTACGAGCAAACGAGTTTATTTATTTGCAGAAACAAGAATTCAATTAAAGCACACTCATTGGAAGTGACGAAAGAAGCATGTGCAGACAGTTCTGATTCGAGCGATTTCGTGAGTTGACTTGTTATCAGACGAAGCAACCAGTGCAGTCCTATGGTTGCCTGTTTTGTTTATTCCATTGTTGACGCCAGCGTAGCAGAAGGCATGGAAAAGACCCGTGATAACACATCACACATGATCACAAAAAATAGTTTTTACTTGACCACAGAATTCGATGTCGTGAATTCTTTATCCCTTACCCCTGTAATATGCAGTGAAGATGGCAACATATCTAACAGGATAGACTAGATTGGGTGGAATAAACAGGAAGTCGTATATGTCTTCTCAGTGGGAAGGGGGTTCCCCTTTTGTGGAGAATGGACGCCATAGCGAAACTGAAAGGACCAGTCAGCAGAAATTGCCGATCAACTAATTAACCTCTACTTTCTCTCAACTGTGGCGACAAACAACTGAATCCGGAAACCTCAAGCTGAAAGAATCAAGAGAGGTTTGGTGCAGCATTTGGGCTATTTGGGAGTCTATACGACCATGGGACAACTAGGGCCTAAAGGTGCCTACACGCGAAAGGGCTTGTTGTAGGGACGTATTGAAGCGACAAATCACACTCAAACACTCATCCTCTTCGCTCCTTCGTAAGTGGAGCATAAGGCCACTCATCAAGCGACAAATAGCAGCCGGAAAATCACAGTATGTCCACAAAAGAAAATGTAACGGAGAGGTACACACATTGCAGCGACATGATTCGGTAAACTTTAATAATGAAGTCTCTTGAGCACACGCAACATGGCCCCTCGTGTGTTAGTACTTTTAAATGTTAGAACATGCCCTAGACGGTGAAGGGGACCGGGTTGAACGACGAAAGAACTAGTTAAAACATAAACGTGTTATTTATTCACACTTGCGTACAACGTCTAAAATATAAGTGTACTATTATAGTACAATACAATTAAAACAGTTACAAAAATAACATAGGAAAGAGGAAAACGGCCCAGCATACAAAATGAATGAAAGAAACACTATGACAAATATATGTACAATTATTAGAATTTTTGTTTTGTCTGTGAGAGCAGGGCCTGCAGTGACAGGAATTATGTTAAAATTCTTTGGGCCGACTATTTAACGAGTCTGAAATAGACTTGATTTGTGACTGAGCAAGTCCTTTGCAGATCGAGCCATGACCTGAACTTGTCGATGAAAATTTGATGAAAATAAATCGGTGATGGAACGAAAGGGGAGTCGGAAAAGGAGAGAGCGAGATGAGATTGCAACACTACCAATTTTGAGACGTGATCACGGCGGTTTCTTGCGGTTTGTGTGGAGGGCGATTTTGGGTCAAAATTCGGACTTGGATCGTACCTTATCAAAAATGGGTTGTACCAACTAGATGAGGCTATGTAAACACGGAAAAATTACTTTATTGCTTTTATCAAATATTTCTCAAAAATACGCGCAAATCTAAAAAGTCACAACCGTGTTTATATACTCTCATCTAAACACACCTAACGACCAATGAGGGCGCGCGTAGTATCTCAGTTATTTCATAATTCTGAATTGTGACCGAAATCCCCCTCCATAAGTTTGCAAGTACAAATAGGTGTGGAAGAAAAATGCTGGAAGCTTTCTTCACGCCCTTTTCATTGGGCTTTCTAACTACGACTGGACGACCTTCAGTATTCATAAATGACGTATGAAGTTTGGCTGTTCGCTTAAATTCGGTTAACGTTTACAATGATCAATTCTTCGAGAAAAAGACAAATCTTAACATTCAGAAAATAATAGTAACAAAAATAAATAAAGCTATAACAACAAATGATGTAGATAAATAAATTAATTCATGTCAATATGTATAAAGGTTGTGTTGCAATTTTCTATAATGGTAAATGTAAGATATAACATTCGATTATTGGCAAATATATAAATAATAAATAACAAGGCTGATAGCCTGTTCCAGTCTCGAAAAAGAAAAAGCGGGCGTCAACATTACCCTCCCAGACCTCGCTCGTCACCCACCCGGTCGGTGATCGTGAGGGCGATCGAGAAAGCGAGAGCCTGGAACGGGCTACAAGGTTGATAACTAAGGAACCAATGAGTTCCACAAACAATCCAATGAACCAATCAAAAGTCAAAGCAAATACCGTTAATCCTCGAATTAGCGTCCGGGGAGCGCTTATTCGAGGGGGGCGCTTATCCGAGGGGGGGGGGGGGAGCGCTTATTTAATTTTTCCCAAATCGTGGCCTGACATGATCCTTTTTTTAATACATCATGTGCGCGTGAACACCTGCATAAGCTGTCTATTGACATAAAAAGCTGATCCTAAAGTTTAAATCGCGGCACCGTTACTACTTAACGTGTTCAACGTGTTCATTAAACGTGTTCACAAACTGAAACAATGTACAAATCAAATACAACATGACGAAAACTATACATCCTTTCTTGTCTAATTACTTGTCCACGAAATGGGGGGGGGGGCGCTAATTCGAGGATTTACGGTATATGTGGCTGAGGCGAAGCGCGGGAAAACGTGTGCGAGCGCGTGACGATTCGTTTTGGTTTTACTTCTGATTGGATGAGAAAGTAGTGCGAGTTTTTTAAGCCAATCGCGCAGCGTTAAGACCTATTTGTACCGCATGGAAGAGTTGGAAGGGAACGTTGAAACTAGATGTTGCTTAATCTGACGGTTGGCTACTTTACTGCTTTAAATTACTCCAAAGACAGCAAAAACTACACCAGGAGGACTAAACACAAGTACACGTATATCTTAACTATATGGTTTAGTTCACGAGTTAGAGTGGAAAAGCAATGAAAAATATGCGGTAACGAAAAAGTAGCAGCATGGTTCGAAACAAAATCCTTATAATAGTTACTCTGGAAGACAAAGAGGCTAGCGTGAGACTTGTGGTGGGACAATGGTTCATTTTTTAATCATTTCTCTAAACGCATCTCGCTCGTGCCTCGCCTTTGCGCTTGCCTCGCATTCTCGTGAGACGCTTCCTTCCGCAAGGGCGTTGCACCGTGATAAGTGGTGCACGTGCTATGTTCTGAGTGGCCAAAAGTACTGGTAATCGAAAATTAATATCTACGACGAGGTTGGACTTGTTTGGATTTACAGAAAAAAACACATTAACTTGACTTGCATCTGTTATTGGAAGTCACTGTTATAATCGTCAATATCTACACCTCTGTCGCTTGTCCCTGTTCTGTTAAGTGACTGCTGTGATCCGAGAGAGCCTTGGGAGCTAAACCGGTTGAGTGAGGTCTGGGAACCATTCTTCACCACGTCCAGTCGAGAGGGCGGTAGTGCAGGATGAAGATCATTTTGGAAGGCCTGCATTGAAAAGTTCGGAGGGAACGTTGAAACTAGATGTTGCTTAATCTGACGGTTGGCTACTTTACCGCTTTAATAAATTACCCCTAAGACAGCAAAAACTACACCAGGAGGACTAAACATGAAAATAAATTTAAATTTACTATAATAAAATCTAACTTTTATTTAAAGGTACTCTAATCTAACTCCTTGGAGGACTAAAAGTTGAATAAATCTAAATGTACAACAATAAAATCTAATTTAACTAAAAGCTACTTTAACCTAACTACACTGTCTAACAAAACCTTGGATAGGAAATAAATAAATAGGTCTCTCTAGTCGTTCATCCGTCCGTCTGTCTGTCTGTCTGTCTGTCTGTCTGTTTGTCTACCAATCAGTCAATGAAAAACTAGAATTCAAAGCCATAGCCATGGGTAATCTGGATATCGGTGTACTCAGATTGGTAGGCGATTTTTTGCTCTAAGATACTTCATGCCTTGTTATCCTAAAAAAAATAGAGGGGCCAAAAGACAAATTTGCTTTGAATTTGTGACAATTTTAGAAGGACTTGTTAAAATGTATAGAAAAACCACTAACAGATATTTGGTATTATTATTCAAAAAAGAGACTGAGATGTTTTTAACCCACTAATATATGTACCTTTTGCACTCGTAACTCAGAATGAACAATACCTCGATGTCTTGCTCCTCATCCATGGAAATAAGACTTTGAAATGCAGCTGTATAAAGCTCCAAGGCTTTGGCATGAAACAACATCTGGCCATGGAAGAAATTACTGAACACTGTCTGTAGACAGAAAAAAAAAATTAATTATCACTATTAGTATTTTAAGTGGAATGCATGCATGTATGATCATGATACAAAGTTGATACATAAAATTCTGTTGATCTAAATATTTTTTTTAAGAACTGGGTTGAAACCAAAATAAAGACAAATCCAGCTACATCCAAGTCTAGCATGTCTGTACCCAGGCTAAAAACAGGAACATTACAAGGCCCTGTACACATTCTTCCTTCAGTGTGTACTGCAGTTAATTGTAACAGTAGCTGAAATTCTAGGTGGAGGAGTAACACTGAGTTAACTCCTAACTCCAAGACACACCCCAGAACAAATGTCCAGAAATCATAGGATTGTAAGAAATAGGATGGTGTAGGAGTTAAATAAGTTATACACAATATTATGCGTGTGGACCAAATGGGGGAAATAAAGCTTGTCGCCATTGTTGTTGGTCTGTCATGAACTTTTACAATTGAATCTCACAGTCTTGCAAATTCTAACAAAAAGCATATTAAGTCATGCACTAGGTCATGAATACATTAACATGTTCTGAAGGTCAAAAAATTGACCCCACCCAGTATGGCTTGAATGCAAAACCCAGCAAACAGTCACAACCAACAATCTCAAAGAACAACTGTAAGCCAACTGTAAAAGGAACAAGACACCTTAAGCTCTTGATTTACACAATAAATTAAAAAGGTGTACATAATGAAATGCTCCTTTCTTGAGTTCATGAAATACAGAAACTGGTTGCAAATAAAGTCAGAAAAATTTACTTCTGTCATTTAATTCTTACCTTGATGTCCTCCATCTTCTTTCTTTCAAATTCCACCATTTGTTCTTCCAGTGTCTGTCTTGAGCGGTTGGCATCAACTGTTAGCTTCTGAAGGTCCTGCTCAGCCTGGAAAACATAGTGTGTGCCCAGTCAAACAATAGAAACCTTAGTCAAAAAAGAAAACCAGCTAAAGCTAAGGGAAATTCAAGACAGAGCTAAAAAAAAGTTTAATATCAGCTGTTAATATTCAAACTTCAAATCAGCAATTAATTTGAGTACTGTTATGTCTGGCTTCACCAGGCTAGCATCTGAGTTGCTGAATGCGTACATCTCTAGTTTTTATAACAATAAAAATTGGGTCAGTTCTATTCACCACTAGCCTTTTTGAGCCTCTTCAGTAAACCCATATGCTTGCCTCTGCTTTGGTATTATTAATTAGCAAGCAGTAAACATGATCATTAACATTTGGTGGTTGACATTAGCATTTCTCAGTAAACATTCACTGGAGACAGAAGGGCATTAAGGTGTTTTGCAAAAGGTGAACTATGATAATTTGTTATGACTGATGTGGCTCTTTCCCATTTAAAATGTTTACTTTATTTCTGGTTAATTTCCCAGTGTACATGCTCTTAGGATGCACCCTTTTCATGAAATCGTGATAAACCTTGGTTACACATGTAAATGTATCTTTGTGGCATGTTTCAATATCCTCTGTTCTGCTATAAAGCCTGATGGGAAATCAGAATTGTTTTAAAACATTCACATGAGATTTGTGAGAGGTATCCTCCAATGGAGATAAGGTTACCCACCTTCGACTATAATAACAACAGTTAGGGAAAATAATTGGAATTAAGAGTTTATGAAGACTAATTAAAAATAATAATCTCAATAGTTAATAACACTGATGATTTTATGTCAGGTACACGACTCATACAAAAATAAACAGAAACAAAGATCACCAGCAGAAGAGGCTGCCCAATCCAGCATACACCAAATCTGCGAGCAAAACAACAGTTTGTGCACCCAGTTGGGTCTCTCAAATCAATGTATGGTGAATTTAATGTAGGTAAAAAGTGACATAATGTAATGCAATGTAGCATAGCACAGTGCAAAGCAGCATAGCACTGTAATAGCAACTATTGTACTGAACAGTTTGCCAACATAAGAAAATAATTGGTTACAATTAATTAAAGTGAATCACAATCCCTCCAGCATTATGATATGTTTCCTTAAATTTCTTCGGGAAGTATTTTAAGGATACAATCTTTCCCTTGTTTTTGGGCTCTTTGATTTTAAGTTTTTCCACTGCTTTACGTTTCAGCAATTCTTTCTCTCTGGATGCAGACAGTTCCTTTACATATTCCCTTGCATGTTTAACATTTGTGGCATTGAGGGACAGAGGAGGAGAAACCTTTGCCTGCATAAAGTCCACCTGACAAATAATATTATAAACATACATCATGATATGAACTTCTACATTGGCAGGGATGCAACAACAGGGTTGGTGAATGGTAAATTCGGGACCTTGTGAAAACGCAAGACTAGCTTTTTTTACGAGCCCAAGACCTTTGTGAGTACAAGATGTTCAAATATCAGTTATAAAAACCAACAAACGAATCAGGACTTCAAGACTTTCTTAGTCTTACAAAGTATCGATACAGACTTATTGAAAAAACTGAGACTGCGAGATGTACTTAACTTCTCAAAATCAAGCCTAAGAAACCACTGAAATTCAAAGAAAATTTTGCGAGACTCATGGTTTTTGAAGGATCATTCACCACCCCTAATAGCACAGGTGTATATTGTAGGTATAGACCCCCAAGTTTTATATCAGGTTTCTCCCATGGGTGGTGCCTATGAGTAGGTCCACCCTAGGGTCAGAAATGTGAGCAGCATTGTTGGGAGAACAAGTTGGTGGTCACGACTGATGCAAGCTGACAAAGACCAAGGGGAGCAAGAATTTTAGCTAGGTCTGATATCTGTGTAAATTTTTCATTTTTCCCTTTCCTGAGCAATAGTGAAATACCATTGGCCAAAAACTAATTATAAATCTCTTGTAAGTTACACATTTCAGGGTGTAGTAGAATTGCACTTTCATGTAGTCTCATGACATAGATATATAATTTACTAAGAGTAAATAAAGATCAGAGCTACATCCAACTGACGCATAACAACAATGAGAGACAAAAAATAGTTACATGTACAAATGACATCAAACCTTTTAAATGGAGACAAATTAAATGCTGTGGTAAGACTACATGTACTCACCTGTGCACCCAGAAAGTCCTGTATTGCGGCAATACTCTCACTGACGCCAGCTAAACTTGCTTTCATTGAAGGGTACTCCTTGTCAGAATACATATCCACACTCCTGGACAGTTTCATGCCTTTTTCTTGTAGAGATTGTAATTCCCCACTAAAGGCTGTAAAGTCTCTAAGAAGTGTGCTGAAATTTCTCTCTGAAAGATTGATTCTCTCTGTTATTACCTTTAGTTCATGGTCTCTGAAATGCAATGACATACAAGTACAGTCAGTCAATGTCTACACTCAGTACAGAAGTACATGCTATAGAGTAGACAAGCTAGGAGACTAGCTTTGATTGTCTACTTTACAGAGATGCATTTTTCAGAGATCCAGAGGTGTCTGCTTCACAAAGGCAAGACTGAGGTATTCACCTTGGAGACATACTTGCCTTCGATAAGTATCCAACTTACAAAGGTGTCCAAATCAGAGAGGTATCAACCTTGAGAACATGTCTACAGTACATGTATGTACTCAAAGATGATAAAGACAAATTAGCTGCCATAACAGGTTTTGACTAACTGTTGTACAGCGAATTTCTGAAACTGACATTCCAAGTGTTAGCCCTTTGTCGGAGCAAGGTACAATGTGTAAATATGCTCTTTGCTCTGACCAAGGACTAATATTCAAAATGTTAGTTTCAAAAAATTTCTTTGTCACTTAATTTACCTTCATAATAATGTTATCAACACAGTTGAACCCCCATAAGTGACCACCCAAAATGTCAAACCTAAGTGGTCGCTTATGGGAGGTGATCGCTTACAAGAGCTTAGACCATACTGGGTCAAAATTTTGCCTTATTAGCATATGGTAACTGCAGAGACTTAACCTATGTGCTGAATACTGTACTTTGATTTTTATACTGTAGTTCTGTTTAAATGTTGGCTGCTCTTGAGAGAACAGTGAATCAGAAAATAAAACCAAATTTCTGTAATTATAAGACATTTAAGGTCGTCTTTATTAAGACTGATAGAGTATAGTGTATGGTTGCTGAGGAGAGGAGGCTGTGACCAGGGGTTCGACTGTTATTAAGTGTTTCACTTGTCCACCAACACAGCACAGTAGGATTCCCTTTGTCTTAGAGTGGTGTCTACCTTGCAGGTCTATGTTCCTGCCCTAGAAACATGTCTGCCTTTAGTTAGAGAGGTGACCATCTTAAAAATGTGTCTGCCTCAGAGGAGAACCATCTTAGCAAGAGGCCTCTAACCTTCGAAACATCATACATGTACATGTCTTCATTAAATAGAGAGGTGTCCACCTTGAGGAAATGACTGCCTTTGACAGTTTAAGTGGTCTGCCTTAAGGGACAAACAAGCTGACTGTACTTACGGTCACATGTGCAATATTTCAATGGAGTTGGGTAGATGTTTTCATTACTAAATTATTTCATAATTAGTAACTCAGCAATGAAAACATTTACCATCAGCATCAACAAAAATGGCAGGTGTGGCTGCTGAGTTACTCCAACGACGGCGAGAACTAAGCTTATACCACATGTGTATGAAAGTTTTGACAAGTTGATGTAAATTATTAATATTAATAACATAACTCGACTTATTATATATCAACCTTGCTTTTGTTTCACTTCTGATCTCACTCGGAGTGGAAGCGCTTAAATTCGACGAAGACTTCTTCATTTCCACTGGAAACTTAGCAGATTCTTTGCTATAGAAGTTACGATCAATGCGATCGTGTCAACGACGCCGCAGAATATATTGCCAAGCAACGAATCTTTTGCGCTCTAAGTTATTCAAGACAGATTCCTTATGTTCCTCATATATATACTCGTAGATATGTCAGAAGCTAGATGCATTCACCGTAAAAGATTTCCAACGAATTCAGACCGATCGATGCCTTTCCCACCCTTCGCCCGCCATCCTATGATGACAATGCTCACCTGTGTGGGGAGGTGAAGAAAAATTTTCTTACAGCCACACATGCGCAATAGTAACCGCTTTGCTGCTCGCCATTTTGTACCTCCAGGTGCAAAGCTTTTCAGCGAGTAAAACAGCATTTATATTTGTCAGAATCTTTTATATTTACTGCTGTCTACTTCCAAAGACTGTAATTGATCGTAAAGTACGTCGATAAGGGCTTTAATGTGGCGGATTTTCACGTTGTCGGGCTGACGACAAGGTCCTTTGCTTTCACGTGCTCAATCAGGTAAGTCATTGAAACCGGTTGTTTGTGTTTAGGGTGTTTTGCGACGTTGTTTGACGCGAAGAAAAGACGGAAATCGCGTTACGGAACAGTCAGCTTAAGAGGAAGTTATCGTTATTGATTCAGAGAAGCTTAGCGGCGAAAAAAAACTACAGCCGGCGAGTGTGCTAACAAAATTCCACCGGTTCATGAACATGCAGAAGTGAAAATCAATCTGAGCTGAAAAAAGGAACTATTGGCTTTTCTTTTACTGTTAAGTGTTTTAGGTTCCACATGGTTGAATTAAGTAGATCCTATCATGTTAATCTAATAAGTCATACCAAAACAATCACAAAAAATTTGTAATTTACTTTCAATCATTGGGTAAATAGCCTGATAACAGATTGCAGTGTAACCTTATTTGTACCTACGCATTGCCGAGAGAGCAAAATGTGGTTCTGACCTCATGTACCATTTACACAAGAACCTGTTTTTTAAGACCAAATAGTACACTTCAGCTAACCAATGAACCCTAAACAAATGACATATTTATTTATTTCCAAATACTTGCTTTCCATCAATATCATGACTCTTAGCAAGGTCATTTCCTTGTGTTCAAGGGCAGGACATAGTGAAGCCTGAAATCTGGCCAGGTTAATGTGGTGCCCCCTTGAAAATAGACATTAAAGGGATGTTACAACAAGTGGTGTGTGTATGGGCTTTCATAGTTATGAAAGTTGTGCGGATGTTTTTGTTGTTGACCTGGTGTTTTTGTTTGTCTGTGTGATTGAAATATGACAAAATGTTTATGATACTGGGGGTGGCAAGTTATTCGCATTTTATTATAATGACGATATAGTTCTTATTTTTTTCATTTTCCTTCATGTTTGTATAGTTGCAAAATAAAAATAATTCTAGCACACAGTCTCACAATGCAATAGCGTGTCCCTTCAAATAATCTGGCTAATTTTATTTCAATAAGAAGTTTCTTTGATAAAGATTTGGTAATAAAAATCAGCAATAAAAACGAATGATGTTTCAACCTCTCCAAGGTCATGTTCAAGTTCAAGTAAAATATGAAATAGCATACAAATATAAAAGTCTAAAAAGTAAATGGGAATTTAAAAACCTTAAAGCATGTTAACATGCATAATTATCTAAACAAATAGCTTTGCACAAATTGAGTGACACTGTTTGTTAAGCATTGGTTTCAGTTCCTTAATGAAAAGCATTTCAAACATGAGGCAAAGATGAGACCAACTGAGGAAAAAGCATGGCATTGAACCAGATAACATCATGTGAAGTTTTAACATCCTAAAAAAGTGTGAGAACAAACTGGATTGCCTCATCTTAATCAAATTTGGTTTTGACATTCCGTTCTCTATTATAATGTAGTTTCTAATGGTAACCATAATGTAAGGTTGTACTTTACAAGCACCAGTCAGTATTTATTAAGGCAAGGTCTTTTTCAAACAGGGTCTGTATCACTTTACAGCTGGGAAAGGAGTCAAAATAGTTCAAGGTATCTTTCCTGGTCACCTGCTTTGATCTGTAATCTGTAGTGTTTAGGCAGGCAAAAATATGCCATAAAAGCGATATGTCGGTGTCATCATGATGCCATTGTCAAGGTGATTATGAAAATATTCTGCAAGTCCTTTATAGGAAGGTCTTGCAGAATATTTTTATGGGACTCGCAGATTATTTCTCTTATGAGCTCGACAGTGGTATCATGAAGACACTGTTACCTTTCACACTGCAAAGGTCTACTTTGTTTTAATGTATGAGGAATTTTGGCAAATGAAAAGTACCAAAAAAAAAAAAAGTGACGTTAACATTTTGTGAAATAAGATTTCCTGAAAAAAGGAATATAACTATGTGAAAAAGTAATTTGACCTGGTTTCAGTTCCACTGTTAACTTGCATGTGTACAAGGTAAAAAATACAGCCTTACAGATTGAGGAAGACTGTGTAACTGCATGAGCTACAGTGGCCAAGAACTGTTTTGTTTGTATTCCTTGGACATCATGATTTTTATTATTTATGTTACACAGATTCTGTAAGATCCTGGGCTTTAAATGCAAAGAAGGGGAGCACCTCCCCCACGGGGATTCAGAGACAGACCATTCCCTCCCCCACCACCACCAGATTATTATGATGAATTTGATCACCGACCACCTCCTTCACCTCCATGGGAGCACCGCAACCACTTTGGACATCCGCCATCACCACCACCTCCACCTGGACGGCCACCAAGATTCTGGGATGACCAGCCTTTGACACCACCTCCTCCTTGGGTCAGAGATGATATTGATGGTCCTTCCAGACCTGCACCTTGGGATAAGGACTATCCTCCACCACGTTCATTTGCTGATGATGACTTTGACATACCACCCCCTCCTCCTCCCTACCCTTCGAATGGACCTCCTAGGGGAAGAGGGAGACGCGGAGATGGACGAGGTGGCAACCGAGGTAGAGGTTTAGCTGGTGGTAGGGGGGATGCTTCATCTAGAGGAACGATGGCCCCTCGTGGTGCAAATCAAACAAGGGGTGCCCCTGCTAGGGTAGCAAGTAATGGTAGGGGTGCAAATTCAGCAAGGGGAGCTCCTAGTACATCAAGAGGAGCACCTAACAGGGGAGGGCCTAAGAGAGGAGCACCAAATAGAGGAGCCCGTGGAGGAACAAGCACTACAAGAGGTGCCTCTAATGGAAATGGATTAGCTAATGGAAGAGGTGGAAATACAGTCAGCAGTGGTAGAGGTACAGCCAAATGGTTGAGTGCTGTTAGGGGCAGTAACTCTGGTAGAGGTGGTTCAACCACACCAGGAACTGTCGGAAACATGAACAGCAATCAGTCAACCCCAGGAACTAATGTTGCAAAGCCAAATAATCAAAACTCTACAACAAATCCAGTTTCAAACGCTGGTCAAGTGAATCACACAAATTATTATTCAGCAAAGCAGAAAGAAAAGAGTACTGTGGTTAAAGGTATGTCGAAAGGACCTGAGATAAGGGGTATGAATATAAAGTGGAGGGTTGCACTAAAACTGGAACAAGTCGAAATTTGCTTTGGACAAGTACATGTACAGGGCTCCACACTAACTTTTCAACTTACTAGCCCAGTGGCTAGTGACAACCTAGATGTTACTAGCAAAAAAATTTTACTGGCCAAGTGTTGACCTTGGCTGGGTGTAATAACAGCAGAATTACTAGCAAGACTTGAAAGCACAATCCAAGCAACTCTCTTTAATACATATTGTTGGTAATTACATTGTACTTAAACCAGTTCCAATAATACAACAACAAGATATATTATATTTATAAAACAATGTGAAAAATGAAAAAGAGCACATTAGCATTTTGATGGTGGACGTTTGAGACTTAGGGCCTGATTACATGGCGAATTTCAGCCTGGCTTCTGAAATAAATTCTCATGACATCAAATTGGCGATTACATGAAGAAGGATTCAGCCCGGGCAAATGGACTGAAAAGTCTGAAAAAATTTCATGTAATCGAAATGGAATTTCAGCCCGGACTGAAAAGCAGGAAACAAGATGGCTGCCGCTATGAAGTAGAAGCGATCTCAGTGGAATAAAGGCGATAAAATAGAGAATCTCTCTCTAATTTCAAAGCTTAGATGGAATATAAGAACATCGAGACAAGGTTAAACAGCACGAGGCTGTCAGGGAGGCCATGAACTTGGCAAGCTTGAGGACATATTTCCTTTCTATAAAAGTACGTCTTTCTGGCTGAGAGACAGGTTTTGTTTCAGTTCCATCATCATTGTAGGGTGTTACTATCCCAAAAAGTTAAAAATTGAGCGCCAACAAAAGGTCAAACTATGAGAGAAGCAATGCGCCTATTTTCACGATTCGTGTTCTCTGCGCCATTTTGATTCTCTGGAGACTTTTTGCACACAATTTCATATTTGGCGCCGAGGCTAATATTTCAGCCCAGGCTGAAATTTGTTATGTAATCGCAACAAAATTTCAGCCCCCCTAGCTGGGCTGAAATTCGCCATGTAATCAGGCCCTTACACTTTCTTCCTGAGTGGGTCGTTTCTTTTCAGAACTCTGGTTTTTTGGCTTTTTCTTTAGTACTGCTGGTAAAGAACCCTCTTATATCCATTATGGAATTTTAAGGGAAAAAATCAATGCAGTTTTGCATTTGAAACCTCTTGACCAGTTGACATATAGTTGGCACACCTTGGGTCATGCTTGACTGGTAATGTTAAACACAAGGGCGAACCAATTTATCACTGAATTGCACTGGTTTTAATTTTGTTCAATGGCCTTGTGTTTTCCTCACATCAAATCTCTCAAGCCAACAGATCACAAAGAAAAATCCAGTGATTATCCCAAAAAAACTTTCAGGACTCTGTTTTTCTTTGAGACTTTGTTGTAAAAATATCGAGACCCCAAGACATCATGATTTTAACAACTGTCGAGACTTCTTCAGTCTCTTCACAGACAGGAGCTGTAGAATTCAAACTGTTTCAAAAGCAGCATTAGCAAAATTTGGCTGCTAATAAATGTCAAAGGAAATAAATCTTTCTCATGTAATTATTTTTGCAGTGGTAAGTTTTGTCAGTATAGACACAATGTTAAATCACCTATATGTTGTTATGCTAAATGAAATGTCATCCCTTTACAGTTCTGCACGATTTTGTGCATGATTTTATCACAATACTCATGTTTTGTGCTACTAATTTTGTAACAAGGAAAGAACATTGATGTGTGCTTTCAGAAAATGCTGTCTTGTTTGTCAAATATTTCTTTTCACATAATAACATGTTCAGTTTTTATACCCTTCCAAGTACCACACAGCGAAAAGTAAACATGATACGACCACAATGAAATTCTGACCTTGTTTCCGAGAAAAGTGTTAGTGTTTGTCTTCCGTGAGGAAGACAGATACTAGTTCGGCCAATTTCATTTTGCTTACTAGCCAAAGTGGCTGGTGGAGATCAGAAACCTACTAGCCAAAACTAAATTTGTACTAGTCTGTGGCGAGTTGGCTACCGTTAGTGTTGAGCCCTGCCTGTACATGAAACTTCACCTCAATATACATTTACTTCCTAAAGGATCCCCCACCAGGTGATCTTGCAGCTCAAATGTACTACGTTCTTCATCGTTAGCATGCATTTTTGCCTGCACTACTTTTTAACTTCTTTCTTTAATTCCTATTTGCAGCTGCTATTCCAGGACAAGCAAACTTCATTTCGTTTAAGAACAGTCTCCAAGAATGCTGTCAAAAGCAGCAGTTGCCTGTTCCTTCATATGCCACATGGAAAAATAGTTTTGGCTACTCAGCTAAGGTTGAGGTGGCGAATAATATCTTTAAAAGTGCAGGAATCCAAGGAGATCGCAAAGAAGCTGAGCAGGGAGCTGCTTACACTGCTCTAATAAATCTTGGGTTGATTGACTCTTCAGTGAAGTTTGATGTGAAAACAGCTGCAGGTACAGTGAAGCTAGATAACATTATTCCGATAATGACGAGACCAAAGAGAAACAGTGAGCTTTGTTTCTACGAGACCCTCAAAAAACTCAGTGTTTCTCTTGGAGCAGGTCAAACTGTTTGGTCAATATTCATACCTTCCAAATGAAAAAAAAAAAAACAAAACAAAACGCTCTGATTTTTTCCACAGCAGTCTAAAAACTGAAAGCAACATGATTTTTTAACACTCTCCAATTCTTGGAGGGTTTGAATTTAGCTTTGAGATATCCTTCCCTTAAACAAATTAATGTTTTGTAGACAAACAATTCTAACTATTGACTCCTGAACATAGAAAAAACATTGAATATAGACTAAAAGTTAGCTTTTCAGAACAGGAGCAAACCACTTTCATTGGATGGTCTGCATCTTTCAATAAAATGCAAGCTCTACAACAAACATTCAGTGGAAGGGGTATGTTTTTTTCTCAAACAACATAATGCCAGGGTCCGAAATTAACTTTTTCTGGCAGGCGCCAACTGGCGACTGAAAGTTTTTTTTTCAATCGGCAAATGGAAAAATGTGGTCACCAAAAAGTGTCAATAAAATTTTTCATTTGCAGCGAAACACAAACCTAAATTTTTGGTCGCCACGGGCTTGCCGGCAAAATATTTGGAATTGATGTGATCAGGAATCAAACCAGTGCTGAAATCATCTTTTGACCACTTTGACAGAACTACATTTCCACCTTTTGACGCCCAGAGAATATCAAAATCTTCATGTAATTTCTTTGTGGATGTTCCATCTCCACCTTGTAATAAATTACAGAAAGATTTCAGAACATCTTTGGACACCACATCGCCTGAATAAATATTCATGGCGAAAGAATGCACGGGGCCTCCTATGGTATCACGTAGACCCTGGGCCATCCTTTGTAACTTTCTCATCATTACTGTTTGTTGGTGGACTCTTGTACTTGTACATTGCAATTTCCATGAGATTAAATAGTTGATAGTGACTTATCAAACTACCTCCCTTAATAATCATGTCCTTTTCAAAATGCAGTATTATTTCCCTTGGGAGATTCTATAGTGTAGATGACACCATCATTCATCTTGAACGCGATCACAAACACACTCACAAAGTCAATTTTTATCAACAAAATTACCTGTGATAACAATAGGGTGACAGGCCTACACAACTCCTATCCACGTGTCATAGCGGCTTTGAAAGTTCTGCTCGAACTAGCATATCTTTAAGGATCTGCCCCTTTTGTACAACAAAGGATCTTTGAATATTTCACTAAGTAACGGTTGAAATGGAAAGAGATTAACAAGAGCACAAAATCCTCTGCTTCCTGAAACTATGAGATCATTTCCTATATATGTACATTAACAATGAAGCTTTTCACAAATCAAATCAACTGCCTCTCAACAGACTCAAAAGCAACTTAGGTTAGTGATGGGTCTGTACTTGAATCTGTCTATCTGGAAACTAGTTTTAGACTATCCATTTCACCTCCCCCTGGAATTTCCTGGGCCTTTGCCCCCTCCCACCCCTTGAAAATTTTAAGTCTCTCTGTGGTGGGGGTATGGAGATTTTCTGCCACCGCACATTTATAGAACATGTTTGAGTGTTGACATTTGCTTAGTATGGTTTCTTAAACTTTATACTATCACTAACACTAACATTTACCATACAGCAAAAGATGTATGCCAGGCCCCCAATTATTTTGTCCTTTCTCTAATTTTTAAATGGCTTGGAAAGAATACTGCCACATTAACATGGTTTTACCTTATCAATATTCCCTGACAAAAGCTATGTTACTCTTGCAGTGATCAAGCGACCTGCTATAGACAACAGTATGATTCATGATTCTTCTGGAAAACGGATCAAACTTGATTCAACATCGCCTGTAGCCACCTCCTTCAAGAGCAGACTTAATGAATTCTGCCAAAAGTTTCGCCTTTCCATTCCATCCTACGACACTGAGAAAGTTGAGAATGGCAAAGGGTTCATTACCACTGTCGTCTTCAACAACAAAGTTTATAAAAGCAATGGTCCACAGACAACTAAAAAGCAGGCAGAACAGAATGCAGCTCAAGTTGTTCTTCACATGTTGAACCAGTGTCCCCCGCCAGCTCCAAGTTTTCACGATTATATTGAACAGTGCAGGCAGCTTACTTCAACACAGAATAAAACCACAGAATCCAGTGCTGCTGAGACGTCTACTGCTGCTGTTTCCACCACAAGTAAGGCTTACTTTAGTTGTAAAAAGTAATAAGAAATAACTTTGTAAATTTTTAAAATAGCATTCCAGTACATGTAAGTTGGCATGATGGCCTGATAGTTAGTGTGCTGGCCTCTGGATCGAGTGGTATGAGGTTCGAGCCCTAGCCAGGCTCTCAGACAAGACACTTTACTCTCCTAGCACCTATCTCCACCCAGGTGTATAAGTGGGTACTGGCAAATTTAGTACTGGGGTCAGCCCTGTAAGGACTGGCATCCTATCCAAGGGGGAGTAGAAATACGCCCGGTCGCTTCATGGTACAGAAACCGGGAAAAGCTCCTGCTTAACCTGGTAAGCCACTTGCCCGCCTTAACTGTTCACTACATGTATGTAATCCACAGTCATTCCATAGGCACTGTTCAGAAATAGTTGCCATTGATTTTCAACATTTTGAATTTATTTCCTTTATGAAGAAAGTAATGTTTTACTTAATTAGTCAAAGTAGAAACCAAATGTACATGCAAGACTGTAATTTCATGGAAATCTCTATTCATGCACCTTTGATTTTAGAACTCTAGCCATAACCTTTTGTCTGTTTAACAATCATTCTGACATTTCAGTAGCATACATTTTGAGCCAATTGTTGATGTCATGATTAGTGTTGTCAGTATTATTGTTTTGACGACTGGGTTACACAAAAGCTTGCATGGTGGCCTTGGAGAAAACAGTCTATTCTAATAAAGGACACCCAAAGACGAGAAACAGTACCATGAGAGGTAAAGTGTACATGTACTGTGTAAGCTCAAAATCACTTGAGTCGAAAGCTTACAGCAACAAATACACTCTTTTTCTATATAAGAATATACATATTTTATAAGAATATTGAGGCTGAAATTTGCGTAATGTTAAGAAAATTAGAATATTGTAAAAATAAACCCGAGGCTGAGATTTTGAAAAGAATTTAATTTTGTGTGTAGAAAGTTTCTTAAATTCAGTACATTTATATGTTTTTATCTAAACTGTATAAAATTCTTCTTTTCTCTAAACGGCAAAACTAGCCAAAAAAAAAAAAAATCGACAAAAACAGTAGTAGCGGTACGTTCGATGCTTATAACATTTCTGCATGTGTTTTATCAGGCTTTATTATATAGCTCTGTCTCACAAGGTTTAAGAACTACCAAATTCACGAATTTGATTGGTTGAAATCGATATTGAAAGCGGTTTAGATTTTCCCATCTAGGCTGGCATCTAGACCGGTAATGTTTTGCAGTAAAAACGTTGCAAACTAAAATGCAAGATCATTGTCTATTTTCTTCTACCAATATTTATTTATGGAAGTGCCAAAAAGCCTGATGAGAAAAAAAAAGTAAAGAGGACGCGCAAACTTTGGCAGAATTAAATTCAGCTAATCGCTGTTCGCAAGCAAAATGTCAGTTAGTACAAACCAGTTAAATTAAATTAAATTCTTGCTGTTTGACGCATAATAAAAATCTTATTAACCGAGCTTAGTAGGTCTGTATGGGAAAATCTTGACCACGGTTGTGTGTACAGACCTCACTGCATTTGGTCTGTACTCGCGACCTCGGTCAAGATTCTCCCATACAGACCTCCTGCACGGTTAATAAGAGCTAATTATTTCCTGCAGTCTGGCTCTAAACTTACTTCAACGCCATCAATGTGGGTAAAACGGAAATGTCATTCGCTATAATGTGAGGATATCCACAAGACTATTTTCAGCCTAAAATCGGCAGAAAAAATAAGAACATTGAGACTGAACCGGAAAATTATTCTTACTTAAAAAAAGAGCGTAACTCTTTCAATCCATCGCTCAAGATACAAGTTCTCCATACTGATTGTCACGTGTTTCCTTAAATATCAGTTTGGAGAATTTGGTGGTAAATCGAGACTTCCCTAAATTATTTTTTGATTCTTGTTTTACTCAGCGTCAGAAATTCAAGTGTGTAGTCATGTAGATTACTTTGAACTATCCCCAAACAATCGAGTTGGCGTTTTGCTTTGCCGAGAGTCTTGGTCAAGGTGTCTCTGGAAAAATCTTTGCACGTATATTGGTAGTGCTTCATTGGTGTTGTATCCTATTTCCTTACATTGTTGGAAACTTAGTCTGCTTTGTGCGAGAAAACCCGTGGCAAAAATTTTAGGCTTCACAATTACACAAGAGTTTCCCTGGTGTCTTTCTCTCTCTCTCTTAGCCTGCGAGCGGGCTCTCTTTCTTGAAGCAACTATGCACAAAACGGAAGGGCTGTGGGATCTAGAACGTGTAACATGCGCACGAGCAGGATAGTCTCCATTCGCGTCTCCCACGTTCCACGCGATGACTATTGGGGGCGGGTCATGTGGCGGGGAAGCGACTACTGAAAGTATTGAATTAGTAGCGTGTCATGTTACGTTGTGTTAGATTACATCAACACGTTTTGCTTTTGTTTCTGGGCGTTCAACGAGACTGGAAGGAGGTTTTCTTCATTTCTGTGGATTCCTTAAACTTTGCGTGACAAAAATCAAATGATGTCTCGGAATTCTGGGATTACGAGGATCGCTGTAGAGCACAGTCTGTTTTTACACAGTCTTCAGGTAGAAACTGAGATAGACAATGGGAAGAGCAGGCGGCCGACATGTCAGTGACACAACCTTGACACGCAGACAAACTTAGTCAGCTTATCACCTTGGCATGTCTTTTTTTCATCTGAATCATTGTCTGAAACATTGTCTGATATGAAACAGTGTCTGGTCTGGTTGTCAGGTCCTGTACAGACGCGTGGCACAGTAATTAAGAACCTCCTAGTTGTTGTGCTCGCCATAAAGGACAAGAAAGCCTTCAAATATACTTTGAGTTATTATTCAGTGTGATTTTCACCGAGTGATAAGAACATAACCAACAACGAAGTACCGTATACTTGAGGAGTGTTTTGGACAAAGCTACTTTTCATCGCAAGATTCCTGCTGTGTAGTATTTTTGTCTATTTTTATCCTTGAAATAAAGCATGCTTTAATGGCGGGGATGAGAAGGTTGCACCTAATCCAGAGTAATCTGCCTGGGAACGTATGTGCTGAATGTTCTTCACCAGTTAAAAAACTATTGTAATGTTCTTTGCAAAACACGAAGACTAAAAACCACTTTGCTTGGACGCGCCGTGCTAACACATTCCTTCACCAGCGTTCGTGAGGCATTTCAAGTAGCTTCTCATGAGCGTGGTTGGATATTGAAACAACTGCATTGAGACTTCCGGAACATATCGACATACATGTATCGTATTTTATTGGGAGGTAAACGCTCGATCTCTGGTGACTATTTGTCATAATTGTCGAGCGAGTATTTCAAACCCAATGTCAAATACCAAGCCCTCAAACGCGTTTTGTCCTTTGTCCTGTTTCGATCAAATCTGAAAATTATTTCGTACATAAGCTCTGCCTTCTGAGAGATGTTTTAGACTTTTTTCAACATCACAGAACAAGTAGGCTTAACCCCACATCTTGCCCGACAACTTTGCGGGGTTTTGAGATAGCCGATGCACGTTTCCCTTTCATAAACGGTCGTTGCCATTTTCGCGACGCGTAGAAATTTTTAACTATCAAAGAATTTTTTCCCCCTAAATTAAAGAAAAAAAAAGCTGTAAGTCACTACGCAGTATCGAACCCAGAATCTCTCGCATGCTAACATCCCTCTCTTACCACTACACCACCAGGTTTATCCGCCAAATCCCCGCAAAATTTAATTAGAAAAGGTGACTTTTTTATGCATGGCATATATGGTATTGCCCTAACCAGCAAATGAAAGCTAACCGCAAGCAAACCAGTGTGAAAGTGAACAATTAGCATTGGGTGAGTGCTTGTTAGTCTTCACCAAATTATAACCACTTTCAATCTAGTCCAGGCCTAAACTAGCGCAGGTATGGCATCGGCCATTCCGAAAAGCTCGGTTATCAATCATGACATCGACTGTTTACGAAAGGGAAATCAGGTTCGCTGATGGTAAGGATATCTAAGAGAAAATGATTTGAATTTGAGAAAACCGTGCTCGAGATAGGGAGGTTGTGCTTTACTTTTTTTAGCAGGGTCATTATCAAACAAAGAAGTATGTGTGTGTGTGAAGTCAGGGCCAGTGTAATTTGTCTAAGCTTAGTCTAGGCATGCTTGGCACGTCTCAATGAGGAATAGGAGAATTTATACCTTATGATGCGGAATTCAACTTTGAGACTAATCCCAGATTATCCTTGAACCTAATGGGCAACACTTATAGACACGCGCCCACGGTGTTCATTTGATGAAATCCGGCGGTATTTGTTATCGGTACTTGGACGGTTTACGAGGGGTAATAGAGAAAATTTGTGGCTGTAACGGACTCCATAAAACAACAAGAAGGGTGTACTTAAACAATTTGAGTAATATTAAAGCGCTATGTCAACTTTGCATGACGTAGCAGTCAAAGTTGAAAGTGTTAGTGGCGTTTGTTCAGTTTGTAGTCACCCGATGTGATAGAATCGGGCGCAGTAACGAGGAAGATTCTTAATGGCTTGCAGTTTTGTACTCGTTTGTGACAATTGAAACGGCAATTACCACACCAGTGCAAATAGTTAGGTAAGCAAAAACATTTAGCCAGAGCGCGCGGGAGAGCCGTGCAAGTTAGCTCACGTTAGGTTTTGGTATCGAGTGTTATTGACTGAAAAATGCGTCTTTACTTCAATTTTTTAACCAAGTAATTAGTCATAATCAACAATCATCTCGTGTACAGCTGCTCAGTGAAAGCTGTTGCTCTTTGTGAACGGTAATCGTGTTCTTCGTGTTCGGTGGGAGTTGTCAAAAGGCACTGAAGTAAGCTCGTCCCCAGGGTTTCCACGTCCGTTCTTGTAGAGATCCTGGGAACGAGGTCGGTGTTGAGGACACGACATCAGTCTCATTCATGGTCATTCTGTTTTATATTTAATTGATTCCTTCTTTGCTTTCAGCAAATACAACTGTTGAGCAGATTTCCACAGCTGCAGCTCCAAACTTATCCACACCTTCAGTTCAACACTCTTCCATCCCAACAGTGCAGAAGATTTCTGCGCCTGTCTTACCACCCTCAGAGCCACTGACCGCGGCCAAACCGACCATGTTCACATCACACAAGAACAAGCTTCAGGAATATTGCCAGAAGTCCCGGCTCGACATGCCTGTTTACTCCAGTAATCGAGAAAATGGCGTCTTCACCTGCACGGTGAAAGTAGCGGGATCAGCATACACAAGCAGCGGCTGCAATACCAAGAAAGGTTCCGAACAAACGGCTGCCAATGTGGCGCTAAAAGCTTTGGGAATCGTTTAACGCGTTTACAGGATTCGTACGTAATTTTTATTGCGTTTTATCAAGGTTTGGACTCAGGAAGGCACAAGGTATGGAGAGTAGTATAGACCTTGTACGAGACTTGTTCGAGACTTTAACCCATGCGATATTGGAGTGACACGAGGTATTTGGCCTAGGAATGTTTTTGCTACCGGGTGCCATTTTGGACAATACGGTCTCCAGTGATCAAAGGCGAACTTTACCGAGAAGTCCCGCGTATTGCTCGAAGGGCGTTCGGACTCGCTTCGGAAAATCGTAGTCCAACATGGCGCCCAAATGGGTTGTTTATGAAGTGCTCGCTTTGTTCTGTCAGATGTCAACTGCCGAATCGAATCTTTATGGCTTCTTTTTTATAGGATCGCATGTTTGCGTTTGCAAGTCATTTACATTCTTTTCCTCGTTTCAGTGGGAGAAATAATTCTCCTCAAAGGCAGGGTACTTTGCTTTAGCACTTGGAGGATTTTTCGATTTTAATAGTGACTGAGAAATGTTAAATTAACAGAACAATTTTCACAAACCCAGGCTTCAACTGAATCTGATTTTTAGTCTGTGAAATGCTGGTTTTAATCCCGTAGTTTGATCGCGTTCACATGTGCACCTGTTGTATGTTATACTTGGCGGCTACGGAGACATTCTAATTTGTTGCGCAGTTTTTTTTTTTATCGTTTTTAATCGGAGTTTCATTTGTGGTTTCACATGTCGTGATGTGAACTGTAAATGTGCACAGTTGACTGAAAAGTTAACACTGAGGCCGAATCTAGGAAGGAATCGGGGGGCTTAACGGCTAAACCTGTTTGCAAATTCGTGTTGAACCGCAATGTTTAACATTCGTTTAATTGCCTCTCTACAGTGTTAACTGTTTTCATCCAAAGTTAAAGCAGCTTTGAAAATGACGCGGTGGGAGAACTAATCATATCTGGCCAATCAAAACCACACAAATCATGCAGTGAACCAATCAGAATCCGAACTAGTGCATGCAACCGGTGCCTAAGCGCGGGAACACATGCAAGCCGATCAAGCGCGGGAAAACGCTTTACGCTGCTGTTCCTGATTAGTTGAAAGCAGAAAGTGAGTTCTGATTGGTTATAGCATGTTACGTAGTTATTCAGTCAGTGGTGGGTGGAACTTTAAACTTCTCAGTTTCGTATTTTCAAAAACGTTTCAAATCCAGATGATACGGCCCATACTGGTCGGCTTACTCTTATGTAGGGTTCGTGTCAATATTGTTAGGTACCATTTAACTCAAGATGGTTCAGACTCCTACGTATCTCCACAGGCTTCCTTTGAAATTCTACTTAACATTGGGTAGTTGTAAATTGGAGGTAACATTTACACTAGCTTATAAAGTAAGTCAGGTACATCAATTTCTAGTAGAAAAGTCGTCGATAGTTGGACAACGTTTTTGTCGAAAGTTGTATGTAGTGAACTTGTTTGGAATAAATTCCCTATAGACTGAACACTGGGTTTCCTTTGTAACAATTTAAAACCACGGCAATCACGTTCGTGAGGATCTCGTGCGTGGATATCTCGTGCGTGAATATCTCGTGCGCCATGCTCTTATTTTATTTCTTTACTTGCTCAGGGCAACCTGACTTGTATCTGAAAGAGTTGGACAGTATGGCTCTCTACGAACTTCCTTTAGTTTCCCAACGACCTGACGCGGGGTTTAGATTCAAGTCCTTCCACAAATTCAGATTTTTTTTAGACAAGTAGCTCTTGACGTTGAGTTGCACCGCCTTTACAATGGAAATGGCGTAAATTGTGGAGTAAAGACAGACGTTTCTTTACAATAATAACAACAATTTGTTAATCATAGTTTTATAATTGTTGGGAAGGAAGTAAACGCGATTTCTCTGATGACGAACGAAACCCTTGTAATACCCACGCTTGTTGTGATTAACGTATATCGTTGTTTACAAAAGCTGTGAATCACGCGGTCTGCCTCTTTGTTTACTCTTTTATTTCTAAATCGAAGATTCTGGTTTGAAAGAAGCTATTTATCACACGCGCTAATAACCGGTTTGCATGGTTTCTGACAGTGCCATGACGTCACTGAAACCATTTGCTTGCCTTGAATCATTGGCTCGATTGACAGGTGAACGCTTGGTGACGTCAGAACGCGACTAACAAACTGTTCATTCAACGCCCGTCGTAGAATTGTTTTTGTATTTTTGTTAACGACCCTAAAGCTTTCTTTTCTCAGTTGTCCTGACAAACCCCAAGATGTTTCCTCACATCTAGAATTTTTAATTGGTTCTGTTTCTGTGATTCAATTTCTATCAATGATAAGAATCATTTCTGCTTAACACCTTTCTAAACCTTTGCTATTTCTGGAAATTTCTTAAAACAGTCGAACTTTTCATTAAAAGGTTTTTGTTCTTAAAAGATAAATTTCTTGATTGTGTAGTTTTAAGTCTTGCGTGTTTCGAACCTTAATGCCATTTCTCAAACAAATGTAGCATTAAACCGAAAACTAATGTTAGAAAAGAAAGTCGCTAAAATATTAATCACAGTTGTCTTTGCAAGCCATGAAACTTTAATGACGAAAATACATAAGAAATATGTACTCAATTGAATTTTGAACTCGTATAGCCTCATTATATGAACTTCTCTAAAAACCAAAGTCAATACAACTTCATTTAAAATTTACGCAATTTACATTCTTAACCAAACTGGGCTGTTACTACGAGCAACTTTTGTTGTCGAACAAACAAAGGGATGTGGAACTTTGTATTTTAGCTACACAATGTGACTGTTGTTTGTTACCTTTATATAAATTTGTTAACTTTAAGTGGCAGTGTTTTCGTGGGTGTTACGCCTACGAGAAAACTCAAACTTTAATCCGAAATGGTACCCGTTAGTAATTTCGAATTCAAGGAAAACCGACGAGAGTTGCGGAAAGAATTTATGACGCGCGTTTAAATATATTTATGAATGCTGATAGCAAAGGTGTTATTCGCTTTGCGATGACAATTTTGGTGAAAAGACCATGGAAGAAAAGCAGTAACCTTGGATTGAAAGTTAGCATACATCTGTTGAGAAATAAATACTGTCAAAAACAACTTTGGGTAATACGAGCGTAGTTAATTAGCTATTTTTAGCTGAAACTGATAGGAGGACTGAGAATTTGCTTTCTTAGTCTCAAGATCAAAATATGAATTCTCTTCTTTGATTGCATGTGTTTTTTCAAGAGAAAGTATTGGGAATCTGTTATTATATCCGGGCAATTCCCNCCCCCCCCCCCTTTAAATTAAATGTAGATAGTTGTGAACTTTGAATGATTAGCAACCTCACTTCTCTCAGTCAGTTCGTGCTAACATTGTCCTCTTAACCTCGATCCCAGAGAAACCCTGGGAACGAGGTTGTTTCGGTTTTGGTTTGTATATGCTGTATGTGTCATACATGAAGGGGTGTTTATTTTAACGACCCCCGGTTGACGGGCAGGATGCACACATCGTTCTCTCTCCCCCTTCTCTCGTATTTAGTCGTGAAAATACCCAACATGGGGTCGAACTTCAGACAGTGTTGAGGCTTCCCCAGCTTAGTAGCGGTGTGTTATAGCAACTTTATTCTTCACGAACATCCTAGACTCGGCCCAAGGTTAGACAAGGGCAAAGACACTATTATAGGGATGTACGTAACTTTAATCACTCAATTTTTTTTACTGTTTTTTAATGGCGACTCTTGAAAAAAATTCATCCTCGAGTTCAAATCTCTTTGTGACTGACTCTTGTATCTCGTTTTGTCAGAGAAATCAGAGTAATATATCGATCGGATTCTGGAGTATACATAATTCACACTCTTGCTCACAAGCTCATTTTACGCAATTCGTTGTGCCATTTTGGCATATTTTGTTTGCGAGACGCAAGTTGCGTTACAATTTGGTTTGTGCAACACATTAGCCAGAAGGAAAACTCATCTATTTTGCGCAACAATTTCGCAACACTTGTGCGTTGCACATTGTAACACAACTCGACGTAGATATCGGTGTATTGCAACGCGTTTTCGAAACGCCTTTCGTCAACTCGTCTCAGTTGTGAGGCAATACACGAGACGCTATCCAGAGTGTAGCGGCATGATTACAAGTCATTTTCCTTTTCGGATACTGTGAGAACTGTTTTTTCGTACAAAACACGGAATGCTTCAATGCGATACATAGTAGACAATACATTTAACAGTAGTGCAGCTTGATCCCGTCCATTGGTACATGTAAGCACAATCGCGCTCAACCTTGTTATGTCTATGTGACACATAAAGTCTAAACCGGGGTTGGCGGGGAGGGGGTACTCCCTTATATGAGCTTTATGGGTTTGTGCAAAAGGTGTAGTTTTTAAGCGGTTTTGATCTGACAAAAGGGTATAACCATTTTGGCCTGAAATGGGGTAGGTTTTTGACTCTGGTTTGGCATTGCGTATTAGTCTCAAATGGTTCTAAACATATTGTGGGCAAAATGCGTCAAAATGTAGTGACCAGAGCACGGAGCAAACTGACTGCCAGTGAGAACGATCTTGCCCGCCTGGTTTGACAGTCTTGAGGAATTTTTTTTTTGTTACGCAGAAGCTCGGTTCAAAGAGTTTACCCTGTCTATAAGACCCATTGGCCTTTCTGCTATAAACCTTAAAGGAAACCATGACGTAGGCGATTGAATTGTTAGCGTGTTGATGAGTTTTCCCAATTTTCACTGTAGTGTATTTTGTAGTGCCGGACTGAATCCAATCTTTTCTGTATTTCGTATAATGTAACCGTCAAGGAGTGTATTTTGCTTGATTAAGTCAGGTGGTGGAAGAATCGAAGTCAAATCCTAGGCAGTAAATGCGCAAACAATTTCTGACTGATATTGTCTAATCACAATACAGCACTACGAATTACGACTTGCCCAGGTCGGGATACGAAAGGTTCCCTAGTAACATCCTTGCCAATATCGGGGTATCCCCAGGGGTATCTCATTAAAACAGGTCCACCGCCCCCCTCCCCGCCTACCCTGCTAACTACGAGAGAACAGAAAATGGTACTGTTATATGTAAGGAACTGCTACCGGGAGAATCTACTAAATTTCAAAGGGAACATTTTTCAAGGCGAATTCTCGGCATTTTTTCCTTTGGAAAACGGCGAACTTCGAATTGTCGACAACACAGTTCATTCGCTGTACTGTGGTAAGAGCGTATGATGCCACTGCAAAACGTTGTCAGTACTGACGTTTAAAGCTACGGACATCGAGTAAAATTCGATTTTTGATTGTCTGTGATCAAACAAGACACTAGTACATGTGATTTGTAGGTTTGATGCCATGGTGTACTTGCCACAACGATCAAATGTAGACATTTTACGTGGCATCGAGAAACCCTTGAGCAATTTAAACACTTTTAAGTAGAAGGGAACGATACAATTTGAAACTGTCTGTCTTTGAAAAATAGTCTTTTATTACCATTCTCGTAAAGAAGTCTTCTTCACCTTCAACTTTCTTATATGTGTTTTTTTCCTATTTGTTACGAGTCGCTCAAAGCGGGCCGGTTTTCTATCGTTGGTAAATAGCGTTGCTAATATATTCAAGAGCTGCTTTACTGAATTAAGTCGGCTCCTTAACGACACGTCCTAACCAGGAAAAATCTATCCTTTTGAAAATTTTGCTAGAAAGATTTTTACATCGTCGTGTATCTAGCCATGCCGAAGGAATTAGTCTGCGAAGTAAACAGTACGTAAATTTTTCCTTTTTTCCGGCAACACTGAATATTATTTTATATTTATTAAGACAAAAACGCGGGGAAAATTTACCTTTCCTTCTTCGCTTAGATTCCGGTGGAAATTTCAGTTTGCGAGAGGTTTAAGAGAGAATATTAGACTATAAACTTAAATAAATTATCCTTATTGCCTTTTGCCCTGGCTTCAAAACTTTACGTACCGATCACTATTTTTTCTTCGGCAGTATAAAAAGTTTATTAATCATATATCATCTTTGATGTATTTGTGTAATATTCTTATAATTATAATTCTGTCGATGGTGTCGATGGCCTTCTTATGAAACAGGATGTTTTCTTTTCATCTCTCTTTTCGCAATTTGTTTTATGCGATATTAAACGTTTCTTGTCGGATAAACACTGAAGTTTTTTTCCTCTTCGCTCGCTTCTCCGAGCTGTTTTGAATTCAAAAGATTTCTAACGAATCCCGACTTACTTATTATATTTGTTTAGCTTTACAGACGATTTATTCAGCTAATAGTAACTCGAGGTAACGAACTCGCCAGTAAAATATTCATTATTGGTTATTCGTGTCACAGGCAAAAATCCAATAGTACTGGCCGCGATTTTATCGTTTTTTAAGCGCTTAAGTCAAATACCATCGAATGAAATTTCAAACAAGAGTTTGTCACAAAGAACTATTGTCCATTATTAAGAGAACTTACAGTTAAACAGCTGATTTAATTCGACTTTAAATATACACATCTCTTCCCTCGATCACCGAACGAAGTCGAAGTTGACAGCTTACACGTTTTCTACAACTTCCTCACGAAGAGGCCTTCCTTATACAGTGCTATGATCTGGTGAAACTATTGTTTTTTGCCTCTTTACAAGATTTTTTTTTTTTGCGCGCCAGAGATCTATTATTGATGTATGCTTAAGTATCGGACTGATCCCTTTTAACATACTATAATTTAGATCTTAAAAAAAAAAAAAACATCTTTTAATATCGTGGCTTTTTCAATAGGGAATTGAAAGGTCGTAAACACCTTATAAGGCGGGAAAACATCGGAAGCCGAGGCTTCTAATCATACGAACTGATCTGCCAAATAAAGTTAAATCCGGTCACTAACTATTTCCGTCCGTCAGCAGTTCTAAGGAGTTGGTTTTGAAATTGTAACTTATCAGTGTCTGCTCAAGTTAACTTTTTTTAGATATCGCTGTAGTTTGCGCAAGACGCAGAATGTTGCTCTGCAGGGGCGTGCGTGCGTAAAATTTTATGGAAATTATTTATGAAGCTAATATAGTGGTTCTAAACTTCGCGTGAATGTGGAGTATATTTTTCTTCTCTCGAAATCTATATTAGCGCGTTTCTGTTTTAAAGGATTATCGGAAAAGCCTTTTATAAACATCTTTGTGCCGGCCTTTCTTTAGATCGTGTTCAAGATAGTTCTTTTCCAAAGCACCTTTCGTGAGGTCCGTTCGTGTTTACATTTTGTTGTCACTTATCCGGGATGTTCTTCAGTTCACATTGTTGTTCTAAGTCGTTCAAGTATATCAGGACAAAAGCACGAACCCTAAACATCACTAGAACGAAAAAACATTCTTTAAATTACAGTTTGCTTCATGTTATCCGCCCGAAAAAAAAAATGGCGTCGCTAGCGCTTTCGTGCCTCCAGTCCATGCCAACGAGGTTGCATTCATTCCCAGTTCCTGGTCGTTGATAAGTGTTGTGACAAAAATTTAGGGTTTTCTCACTTCTGTTTAGGTTAACGTTTTTCAACCCGCGATAACAGGTGCTACTTCTACTGCAGAATTACACGTTGGAAAGCTGTAAAAAAGCCATTATAAACGACGGTAGAATATTCCCATGGAGTGCGAATTTGAGTAACAGAGACATGTTTAAGTTTATTCCCCTTAAATTCGACGCGCTTCGTCCAGGTTTTGTTTGCAACGACAAGTGCAACCGCGGTAACACTGCGCTCTAAAGAGAGCTTAAGATATTTTAAGTTTAAACAGGATAGTGAAACGACTGAAAGTGAAAAGTTCATTGTGTTGTAGAAAACGAATGCTGTTTTTGTTTATAAGGGTGTCCACTCGCTCGCTCGCCCTTCTGGCAACGGACCAGTTTGAGGCCAGTTCAGGGAAGTGATGTGATACGCTGAGTGGCTCGCCTCTTGTTCTATCTGTCACTTTTTACTCACATCATCTTCGCCAGAAAGACCAATTAAAATTTAAAAGCGTCGTTTGCGAGCAAAACAGCGCACATCCTGTTATGAAATGAGCCTTTTATGAGCGCGCGAAAATTGTTTATTCTCAAATAGCGGAGAGGGTAAACCCGTTGCCTGGGTTAAGACTCGTCTCTAGCGAAGGAAACTGTGTTAGTCAGAATTCAGCGAAGCGTGGTAATTATTCTAAAGCCACGTGGCATGTGGGCCAGCCCCCGATTCAACGGGCGTCCAATCAGCGGCCAGTATTTGCCGGTATCTTCAGTGACATGTGACTCGACCCGGCTGGTTTTCTGCTCCCACTCACACTTACTCAAGAACAACATTTCATTGATTCGTTCCCTGTGCAAGGGAAAACATGGGCTCTCCCGAGCATTTGGTGTGCTTTCACTGCACTGCCACAAGATTACCGGCTGAAGAATCGGACACCGAGGAAGAAACCATCACTGGCATCTCGTGGATCGTTGTCGATGTCAAATCAAACCAGGTAAAAAAATTCTTGCGGTAAACTTGTTATTAGATTGTGTAAGCTGTGTCGGGGTTTCCCTTTGCCGGATGCGAAAAAAAATTCTCGAGGGCTCTGGGGGCGATGTGAAGTTAGAACAATGTAATGTGAATTATAATTCTAACGCTGTGTTCGTTTATGCCGAATTAGCTGGGTTCCGTGCATAGATGTGTTGTGAAATCGGGCCTGTCTGGAGCGAACGATGCGTTAAAACAACCCACTGCCAAGTCGCCTGTGACCACTGAAGCTGAACAACTCGGGGAAGCCTTAGAAGAGGTAACGTTACCACTCGTATGTATTTAATCCTTCATTTCCGTTCTCCTTTTGTTCGATCAACAACAAGACACGAAAATGTCGCTGTTAAAATCCTCCGTTCTCTGTCGTCCCTGACGTTATCCCGTCCTCGGAACAGCGCTTGTGGCCGAAAACAGAGGAGGGAAAATTTCAAGATATGTCATGTAAAATTCATACATGTTTCATTGGCGTGTTTTGATCCCGTTCGCACGCTTGAGGAGTTTTGAATCACACAGACACAGTGACAACCAGCCAGGGCCGAAGAATTTTCACCAGATATATTTTTTAAACGCTCGACAGGATCAAACAGTACTTGTTTTTTGTACATTCGGCATTGCCATTGTGATCTCCCAGGTAAACAGGGAGACGGGCCCACAATATAGGATTTGGTCGCGCGCTAAACTCGAGACGGAGACACTGAGCCGCTCGAAATTCAATTCGGGAGAGAAAAAAAAACTACTCCGCGGGAATGAAATATTAAAAAGGGCTCACAGTTAATTCTAACAAGGTTTTTTCATGAGGTTTTGTGTAGTAAATATTTCCAAGATCAGAGATTGTATCTTGGGTTGCGGCGGTCGGACAAACCGAGAAAGCGCGACGGGAAGAGTGTATGGGGCCAAATTTCCACGACCCAGTACGTATTGAATATTCCAAAAAAAATACAAACAGCTTTTATCTTCCCTTTTGTTGATCTCTCGTATACTTGTGTGGCCAAGCATATTCCCATAGTTTCCAAATCGTTGGGTGCCCGGTTGTTATAAATCTCGGGTTTTTATTTTTCTTTCCCTCCGTACAACCCCCCTGCGCATGAAATATTATTTTCACTATCGCCTTCGTATACAATATTCATGATCTTTATCGGCAGTTTAGAATGAAAGTGTTAATACAGCTCTCTTTGGGCCAATGGTATATTCGCTTGTTCAAATTCGTGTTTAGACGGTTTTACTGGTTTCCCCGGAAATACGGGAAAGCGCAACAGTTGTACACACTCGCAAGGCTTGTTAGTATTTTTTTTCGAAGGCTAGAAATTGGAGATCACATCGGGTCGAGACTTAGAGAACAGCGCGATCGATTGTTCGATATCATGTGTTCCACTTGCGATCGCGTCTAAACGCGTCCCAAAATAAATCTCAAGTCTCGACTGATTGTTCCTTGAGTGTCACGTAAATGCCCGTTCGCTTATTAGTCCAAAAGAACGCTTTCGTCGCACGCGTGCTCTAAGAATAAGTCTTAATTGGCTACATTCTCGAAGGATCATTTTCATAATCAAATCATCCTCGTTCGAGAATTTCTCCGAACGTGTCTCTAGTCGATTACATTCGCTTCGATTCGTTGCCGCTGAAATTTGCATTGGCGTTCTGATCGAAACGTTTCAAATCTCCTTTAGCGCGAGTGGGCGGCTGTATTGTTCTAGAACAAAACCTAGACGCTTCTATTTTCTTTGGTATTCTTCGGTGAATAACAAAAATGTACGGATTTCCAGTACCCACTGTAAATATCACACTGCGTGAAATTTTTTTGTCCCCTCTATTGTTTTGCCACTACAATTGCGGCTAACAGGAAACCCCTCAAAATCTGTCAACGTCAAGTGATTGACAGTTAGTATTGTCAACGTATGGAGATTATTGGTCGATATATTTGCATAGCTTCTCAGTGTTTTTTTATCTAAAAATATGCTAAAGTGGTTGGTCATAAAAATTAATAGTACTTTTTCACTGGTTAATTCTAATTTGGCACAGTTACTTTTCTTCCCAAGATCTTAAAAAGCTTGTTGCCACAAGCCTTCATTCATAATTAATTTTTAGAAAACTGTTTGTTTCTCTTCAATTTTAAGTTTTACCTTTCTCTATTTTGATAAGTGTAAAGTGTTTTCTTTATTGTATGATAAAAGCTTCTGATAATGATAGCGTTCTCTAGATGAAGACTTGACTGATAACCTTCGGTTGTTAATCTCTACTTATTTCCATAATTTACAGACACCTTGTCTGTCGAAATATTTTTACATCTCATGTTGAATGAAGGGTATAGCTTGGTTTACAAACATATTAAATGGAAACAAGCAAGCAATTTCCACCACCAGTATCTGCATTCAGAAAAAGTGACGAGAGTGATATTTAATCTGTAGCAGAAGTGATGATTGTAGCAATCTTCTGGCTCATTAATTTACTTGTGTTAAACCTGTCCGCTCTCAAAGCACCAATATTAATTTTAAGAGAAACTGTTTATCTCTTAGGTGACTTATTATAGTTTCCTAAGGTTTCTTTCTCAAAATGATATGGCTTAAGAAGAATTACAATATATCTAATAAGCTTTATTAGCGGATATGAATTCATCAAAAATGGATAAAAACTTGAGTTCAAAAGTAATTTTACATTATTGTGCTTAAACAATGTAACAGACTTTCAAAGTATTTAACTTTCTTTGTTATCGGAATCACGAAAAGTGGGATTTCCTTTTAAACAAGACAGTAATGCAACAAGTCGTAGGTTGTCTTGTTGTGACTACAACTTCCCTTCCAAGGCTAAATAAATAATGTTATAATTGTTTTTTTGTACAGTTTGACAACTTTGTTGAAGAGACTCTGACATGCACAGGGGAAAGGTGGTGTCTTGTGACAGATGGACAGTTCCCACTGAGACATCACTTACATTTGGAAGCCGGCAGGAAGAAAGCCAAGTTGTCACAACACTTTTATAGCTTTTATGATCTTAAGAAGGAAGTCAGAAAGGTGGTGAAGCATGATTCTGACTTTAAAGACCTTGAAGAAGTGGCTTCATGTATCCTTCCTGAAGCTGATGGTGGTCATGTTTTTGGCAATGTTTACTTAGAGCCCCAAATACGTAACCTCTTTAGGTATGGACCATAATTGGAGGGGATTGCCAAACCATAGTCTTGCATAGCACAAACTAAAACAAATTGTGCAAAGCAAGCCATAGAAAAAAAAGTGGTGCATGGAGAAGCTAACAAGTATATCTTGTGGAACCTGAAGATGACAAAGATTCTTGTTTTGAAAAATTCCTACTCCCCACCCCCCCCCCCCAAAAAAAAGTATATGATAATAATCATCTTTTACTGACTTCCAACCATTTCTTTTGATGTTAGTAATTTGTGACTTTGTCAACTTATTTCAGGGTAGTTTCCCTAGGTTATTGGTCATTTTTTGTTTGTTTATTTTCAACTTCTTGGCCATGGATTATACTTAGAAAGGAAAATATACCGACTATGATGTTGACCGCTTTTGAGACTTAAAGAGATAGACAGTTCCTAACTCTACCCTCCCCACCCCCAATCCAAGGGGAAAATTCTACCCTGGCTACAGAGGTTGTTAGCTTTTGGCAGCATTTACTTGTAGGCATGATTTTAAGATACTAAATCATTTTCAAGGTAGTTTAATAGCTAGAGCTTCCATCCACTGACTGATTACTGTAAAGTTCTAGTTGCCCCCCACTCTAAAAAATCACCCCACCTTTTGAAAGTGGAATTTTTTTTATAAGTCCCCCCTCTTTGATAAGCTTCATCCCCTCCTTTGGGAAATAAGATTTTGTGCATCAACTCTCCTATTGTCTGCTAAGACATGCTCTTCATTTACATTTGGAACTTCTGTTGTATTGTCAACATATTTGCCATTTCCACTGTTTACAAGTCAGTAAGAGTCAATGTTTAAAGATGTCAACAAAGGTCTCTCCCCCCCCCCCTCTAGTAACACCCTCCCTTTCTGAGGCTTCACAGTATGACTGCAGATGATTGCATTGCAGACAATCACAGAATTGTAAGCCAAATGTGGAACTGCTATTGCCTGAAATATTATACACATCTGCAATTGCAGGGATCATGCAATTTCAAAGTAATGAGCAGGGTTCAGTTCCCTATGATGGCCTGCAGCACACATTTGTTATGTGCAATCACAGAAATGAGGTTTACAGATTAAATAACGATATCAAATTCCTTTGAAAAGTTAAACATGTTTCCTAGCTTGGAAATATCATTTCCTTGTTAACCATGTAAACATTAAAATTGTTCTTCAAGTCATTCTCTAAACTTTTGAGAACATCAAAATGGTTCAAGGAAGTTGAAATGTTTTGTTTGTGTATGTTTTGAAGGCATGCTTTTAGTTTTCCCTTAATATTTCTGACAGACTGTAAAATTGATGTAAATAACAACAACCCAGCCGGTCTGGAACATTGCAAGCTTATGGCAAGTGTGGTTCAGTATCTCATCAAAGAAGGTAAGATTTGTGACAGTGGGACACAATATACTGTGTTTGTAATTATACACATTCATTTGATTTGATTGACATTAATGTACTTTTTATGTGTTATACCCGATTTGGGTTCTATGCCTGTATGGGTTTAAATGCTTGTCTACTACAAAGAAATGCTACCAGCCACAATTTAAACATTGCAAAAGTGACATTTTCCTCACCCATGATTTAATGCAATATGAAAACTGTTTAAAATTTTAATTAATAGTTTATTATGCAAATCTAAGCAGGACTTCTGGAGACAAGAAAATGCCATGCACATATCGCTTTATTTGTAGTCAACATGCAAATGCACAAAATAATGTTACAAGTGCAAATCTCACTTGCAAGCATAAGCATTGATGATCTGTGTTGCCTATCAACATTTGGTCATTTAATGGTGCAAAAATAAAACCAGCACTGTGATGTGGTTTGAGCAATGGCATGTGAAGATGTTGTGGAATCCTAGCCTGGTGAGATTGGCTTTCTCTAATTATTGATGACAGCTAAGTAATTTATCTGCCATCAACAGAAAGAAGCCAATCTCAGCAGTTCAATATATTTGGTTGTCATGGTTATATACGATAAACATCCCTTAGTTTCAGTGGTCTTACCAGCCAGCTTGACAGTTTTAAAGCAACTGCTTGCTTACATTATGAGACTAATCAAAGTTAAGAGAGTGAAGCTTTTGAATGAAATGTTATACCAGCATTATACAACAAACACTAACATAGCAGCACCTTTTACTGGTATCCCAGTTTCTTTAATGATCTGGCAGAAATGTTGTTCACACCTGTCTCCTTAATGTGAATTCCTAAAAGCTTCCTTGAGACCAAAAATTGCTTTGTGTGAGGGGACACCACTGTCATGTACTCTGTAGCTAACAGACTTTTGCGATGTACAGTCAGAAACTAGCCAGCATATGTGAAATTCCCAAAACTCCAAAAAGAAAAACTCATCAAAATACTGGTCAATTTCTGTCAAAGGAACCTAGACTTGTTCCTGTTACACAACTTCCTTGTTGCGTTGTGTAAGGCACTTCACCAACAGTGCCTTGTTCCATCTGGTGGCCTGGTTGTTTAAAAAGGGATTACGTTAATCCTATTACCATCAGCTTTGAATTTGATCTATAATACTATTATCACAAGTTATCAGGAACTGGTTTCAGTTTTCTTCACCTTTGTGTTTTTCTTTGGGTGATGATCTTCAAGGGATACTTAAAGAAAATGCCTTTAAGCCTAGGATAACTTCTAATTCTCACATTTAGCAGCAATTGGTTCTCAGACACTCTGAGCTAGGTATATAAATGTGCACTTGAAGACAGGCATTACCTCTCCAATTCAGCTGAAATATTATAAATTGCACATATTTGGAATTTCATAAACAGTTCAAATACTCATGAGAGAGTCACATGGAGTGAGTCTCATGAATCCTTAAGTCACTCACATGTTTGTTCTGTCAGGTCACAAGTTTAAAGATGTTGAAAAGATCAGTGGGAAGTATGAGCCTGGACCATGGTATGGTGCTTCTTTGCGAACAAAAAAGTTGGTACCTTGAGATATTAGTCCATTGTGTGGTTCTAGAAAATATCCATGCCCACCCCAAGGAGTGTTACTGGAAATTCCAAGGGAGAGGGGGCTCTCAAAAACTAGAATTTTTAAAGAAAGGGATGAACCAAAACTGGAATTTTCAGAGGGTTCGTTTACCAGATAAAGTTTCATTGGAGGTGTATATTGACATTTTCTGGAACAATTTACACATTTTGTAGTTTTAATAATATTAATGTAAATAAAATGTGATGTATATTCCATTTTGCTTACTGGTACTTTAGTTGTTGTTGTTTTTCTTTAATACTTTTTCCTCTCACTAGGTTAGTGATTTTGTTTCTTTTATTAGTTTGATTTTTAGTTAAAGCTAATATAAGATATTTAACATGGAAATAATTATTATATTAGTTTTATGAATATTTTAATTACTTCTAAACTAAACAAAGTTGTGTAAGTTTTATTTCACACTAGAGCAGAACTTTGTTGACAAAAGAAATGGCTAGCTTTCTTTTTCTTTCCAAAGAGATAATAGAAAGTTTAGGAGAACTGACACTTTTGTGGGAATACCTTATAACCTTTATCTGGCTGTTTCCAAGTCTTTTCAGTGTCTTCCAAACATCCACCTGGGACCCTACAGATACCATCCATTGAATGAATTGAGCACCCTTGTTAAAATAGAACTTTTCACTTCACACTTCGCAGAATTTTTTTAATGTCTTAAATTAAGTTTCAACTCCAAAAAAGTTGGAAGTTTTTTATGAATTGGTATTATAATTTAGATTAGCATGTGACATAGTTATTATTAGAGTAACTGAGAAATACTTAATAAATTTGTAACGTTTTTAGCTTCCACTATAACTGTAAAACTGTAATTGTAAACTTTGGACTGTAATTATTATAAAGAGCTATTGAGCTAAAGCAAAATATTGCTATATAAATAAAGTATTATTATTATTATTATTATTATTATTATTATTATTATTATCGTATCTATAACAAAATTCTCGATCGTGATTGGTTCTCCAGGCGCCTATTTGTCACGTAATTGGCATACAATCACGTGGGTATCAAATTACAGGTATCCAATTTGAACTTTTCATAATTGGACACCTGTAATTGGGTACCCACACGATTTGGACGTCAATTACGTGCGCTTTAATGGCTTCCTTTGCACTGTTTTCAAAACTTTTGAAAAGCGTTACAGATGTTTTCACTCAAAAGAAGTTCTCAAGAGACATTTCCTAATTCTGAAATTTGTTTTAGATACGATTAATTAGTAATTGGACCTCATGTCGTACAATACAGGGAGTAATCGTGCTCGTAATTTCAAATCGGCTTCGCACTTCGCGCTCGTCTGATTTTGAAATTACTCGCGTGATTACTCCCTGAATTGTACTCCACTCAGTCCAATTACTATTACTTGTTATTATGATTATTTTGATTATTATTTTGATTATTATTAATATATTTATTTAATACTCTTCATCAGCCTTGGTCTTGTACTTGATGACACAATTCTAAGAGCGAGAGGTCTTCCATGGCAAGCATCAGATCAAGATGTTGCAAACTTCTTCAAAGGCCTCAACATCCTAAAGTAAGTAACATAAAATTGATTGTTACTGGCATAATTGCTCAAAATTCTCTTTGGCTTAACTTTTCTAGCTAGAAACATAGAAGGACACATAGTCAGTAGAATAAAGATGCAAAAAAGGAGATGAAATTGAGTTGTTAATTTTATCTTTGTCTGTTGTGCATCTTAAATGAAAAATTCTCTAATCAAAATTATAATTTGATGTATTACTTTCACTTTTCAAAATATTCTTAGAGGAAATACACTGGCACCAAACTGGAGAAATTTGATATGTGGTGTTTACAATGGATTTAAAGGAGCTCAGTCACAGTTTGCGCATATTGAAAAGTTTAGCCTCCATTTTTCAAATTCATTGTTTGTGGTCTGTGCTAATCTTCTCCATCCTTAGTCATCCTTGTTCCTTTATGGTTTATCATTATGTCTTTGGTGTTTTTATATCTTATTAAGCTGTTATTTTCAGGTTTCCTGCCATTTAAAGGTAATTTTGTATGTGGCCATAGTAACTCAAACTACCGTGACTGAGCTCCTTTAAAATCAAAGCTGTTCCACTGTATAATAAACAATTATTCCACGAGTGTGTTGGACATGAGATGGTTGATAGCCAACAAGTCACGTAGCACCAACTTTGCTATATTCATCTCATATCCAACAAGCACGAGTGGAAAAATGATTGTTTTATTAAAAATGCCCCCAAAACATAGAAAACTAGACTAAAATAGAAATAAAAACGCTCCCAACTCACATGTACGGCAACCATATTTGTAGAGCATGGTATAATGGCTCATAACCCATGATGGCTAAGCCAATAAAAACTCTCGAATTACATTATCCAATGATCCAGTTTTTAGTAATTGTAGTTATTTCGCAGGGAGAGGATTTGTTTAGTGTGATAGCTGCTTGTGTTGGTATCATTACACAATTTAACTTAGTCATAATGTTTTTTTTTTTTTTGCCATTATTAGGGGAGGGATCGCCTTTTGTTTAAATGCCCAAGGAAGAAGAAATGGTGAAGCATTTATAAGGTTTGAGAAAGGAGAACATAGAGAACTTGCATTGAAAAGACACAAACATCATCTTGGAACAAGGTACATTGAGGTGAGTGGCAATGAATTACTTTAAGTTTTGTGTGCATTGTCCTATGGTGATCTGCAGAAATGTTCAAAATATTTTTTGTAAACACTTTAAATTCAGTCAAGCATGCAGCCCAAGTGATTTGACACAATGGACCACCCAAACTGCTTATCAGTGATTAGTTTTACTTGTTACTGGTCATGGCAAACTAAAGTGTGCAAGTCATGGGAATAGAGTTCAAGATCAATGCAGAAAAACATCCTTATTTAAAACCATTTTCCCAAGAAAATCCGTACAAAAATAAGGAAAAGAAAGAAATGTTTCTGTCTTGATCCCCTATCAGTGAATTTTACTATTCTCAGTTTGTTTCATTATTTTGTCTTTATTTGTGGTGTATTCAATCAAGCAATCAGCCTCCCAGCTTCCATTTTGTTGTGCAGTTACTCTTTAAATGTCTATTTCTATTTTGATTCAGGTTTACAGAGCTACAGCACAGGACTTCTTAAAAATTGTCAGAGGTAATTTCTTTTTCTTGAACCTTTTTTATCATTCGTACTATTTTACATGATAAGACCAGTTTGATTGTGTAAAATTGTGGAAATTGATGACAAGTTGATTCCATTCTGGAAGTGGGCAGAGTAGGCATGTATATGGACCAAATTTGGTATGTTAAAATGCTTAGAACAAAGTGGGGAAAAAAGTTTCTTTTTTTTTGCAGGATGAATGGTATAAATTTTAACAAAGATTCTGGACATATGTTACTCAATACATGCCTTTTTGTTTCTACAAGCTATGACAGTATTTTGACCAGTACATAGTTAAAGACATAATCGAGCAAAAAAAAAAATTCCTTGTGGTGTTACTTCCCAGTTTATTTTTATAGTAATCAATTTATATATTAAGTTATGTTAAAACAGTGTTAATAGCAACAGTGTTACTCCTAGGTCCAGTTGATGTCACGCAGATTGCTGCCAACTTTGTTTCGAACAAGGCTGATGTGATTATCAGAATGAGGGGACTTCCATTCAACACCAAGGAGACAGAAGTTGTGAGTTCCCTTGTCTTAAAATGACAATGAAGAAATCAGGTTGTTCAAGTTAAATTTGTGCCCTTTGTTACAAGGATGAACCCATCCTGGAGCTACACTGTATTTTTTCAAATATAATTTGGCTTCTTTTGATAATATTTAGTATTAGAGTGTAGATCAATTGCTAGTTAGGAAGTAATATAGTTTACATTTATCTAAGAAATAGTGAGGCTGGTCTCTGCTATGGCCAAAATAGTTAATTGCAAATTCTATATGTGAGAATTACAGTTTTTTACATAGTGTTACAGAGATACCTGAAACTAAAAAAAAAATTGTTCACTTCAAAACCTCATAAACAAACTAATACCGGTAATTAATGTTTGATTAATAAACATTAATTCTGTCATCTCATGACTTTGAGTTCTTTATTACCGGGTGGCATACTGGCAGCATACATGTACAGGAAAAATCTTAGTTAACTAATGAAGTATTTCTGCTCTTATAAGAACCAGTTTTGTATGTGGAAACATGATGCTTGTAGTTTGAAAAGCATGTTTTAGACTTTTTTAAACTAAATAGCGTTATAATTTTGTTGTTCTGAGAGTTATAACTTGTTTGTTGACTCCTTGCAATTTCGTTAATGCTCATGTTTGTATCACATCCATAGATTGAATTCTTTGATGAGGATGCACCAGTATTCAAAGGAGAAGCAGGAATCCTTATGGTCAGAAACAGTTTTGGAAAAGCTACAGGAGATGCATTTGTTCTTTTTGAAACAGAAGAGCATGGATGTGCAGCATTAAGAAAGCACAGATGCACACTGGGCTCCCGATATGTTGAGCTGTTCCGTAGTTCCCAAAGTGAGGTTCAGCAAGTTCTGAATTCTTACAGCAACTTCTTGCACAACTTTCCACCTATCATGTTGCCACCCCTTCCTCAACAACCACCATTTCACCCTCCTTTCTTACTTCCCGGGCCATGCATTAATGGCATGAACACCAAAGACTGTCTGCGCCTAAGGGGTCTGCCATTCTCGGCAACAGTGCAAGATGTGTTAGACTTTCTTAAGGAGCATGCTGCATTCGTCATTCCTGGTGGGGTTCACATGGTTTTTAACACCCAGGTGAGTTTTATCAAGAGTACATCTATTTCTATGAGTTGTTTTCTGTATAAGATGCCAGACATGGGGTATGTCTTGCAGAAGTCCTGACACTTCTGAAAGTTTGGGATAACTTTAAACAGCTTTAGAACAGGCTTTTGCCCAGGATTTGAAAAGGAGAAACCCCAAAATGCCAAAATTTGCTTTGAGGTCATCCCAAGTCAACAATAATTTTATAAAGCAGAATGCGAGAACATTATAAAATAATTTGTTTTCAAAGTGATTATCCACAAATCACCTAAAATGGCCATCTGGTTAAAAGCCTTTGAAGAAACCAACGTCTCGCATAGCTACTCTCGAAATGCAAAAATTAGTTCTATTTTAGTCTTTAAACACTAGTCTGAAATGTTAGATGCCTTTTCACCCCAATCACTGTACAAATAATAAAGCTGTAGTACTATTTGTGATACTCTGAGCATTCAAGGCTTCTCAGGTTGAGCCTTACTTGAATAGTTGGGAAAGAATTCTTGGAAAAGACATGTTTCTGATGCAGAGCCTCTTTCCACCTTAAGATGGAGTTGCCTGATAGTAAGTGTGTGGAACTCTAGTTGAGAGGTCACTTGGTGTAAGTTTTACTCTCACAGTGCATCTCTTCATTCAGCAGTATGAATGGGTTACGGGCAAACTGTAAGGCAAGCTAAGAGGATGCTGGGGTTAACTTGTGATGGATTAGCATACCATCCAGGGTAGTAGCAATAATGGCTGTCGTGGTCCAGGCAGAGACATTTTACAATGACTGAAATTTTGCTTCTTTATACTAAGGGTCGACCCTCTGGAGATGCCTATGTACAGTTGGTATCTGCAGAATGTGCTAAAACAGCCACCACTGATCTTCACAGACAGCACATGGGAGAGAGATACATTGAAGTGTTTCCATGCTCAGGAGTCGACATTGCTTCAATCATTACAAGCAGCACAATCAATCAAACTAAGATGACATCAGTCAACAATACTCCCTACAGTCATCCATGTTCGTACCCTGTGACCAATGGCATGGTCACCAGTCCAAATGGGACACATATGAATGGACACACAGACAATATAACTGCTACATCTGCTTGTCGCAGTCCAACAGGCATGTATGTACCTCACTCACCGACATACTTCAACTGTGTCATGCCTACAAGTGGTATTGGAGGAGGCAGTGTGAGTTATTATCCACCAGCCAGTACGAATGTTAGGATGAGAATGTCACCATACTTGCCGCAACCTTACGAAATGATACCCTTCTTTCAAGGATACCAGGTAATCCAACAACTTGGCCAGAATTAACTTTCACTTAGGGTGAAGAACTTGTTTTTTCAAGAAGAAAAAATTGCCTTGTCATTAAGGTGTGCCAATGTTAAGTTTCATCCCAGATATTGATATTTAATTCACCACTGTAAGTTCTGTTTGTGCAAACAATTCCTCTGACTACCAAATAATGCTAAAAGCGGTTACCATTAATCATCCTAATCAAAAGCTAATAAACCAAATGCGTACTGTTTACTTGCAGATTGCAGACTATGGAAGGTAGTTGAAATAAAGCAACACTGAGTTACAGAACAAAATCAACTCCAAGTAGTCCTTAATAGACAATAATTATTAATAGTCATAGTACATGACAAAATCACTTTAGAAATGATAAATCAAGATGAGCTCATAGAGTCTAGAGCTTACGTAGCTAATGCTGCCTGCTTAACAACAGCTCAAAGTAGCCAGAGGTCTCCTCTATCTTTTCTGGTCACAGAGGAAAAAAAATCAATAAATTAGTGCAAGTTTTGGTGAAAACAAAATATCAATGCAGCAGTTTTAAGTATGTAACCACACTACCAAAATTCTCAGTAAAACTTTCAAAAATTGTGAAAGATCTTGCACAAAAAAGACACTAATGAAAGGTGTTTCAGAAATGCTTCACTTTCTGTGTACCTTCCACAATGAAGATAGAAGATAACAGATAATTTGAATGAGAAAAGTTTAGTTTTAACAAAAACTCAACAGTGTGAAAAGTTCTGAAAATAACATTGCAATGGAACAAAAATATTTAAAAGTGAAAAATAGTGGAAGAATTGAGATTAAAACGAGAGCAAAAGTTTGTGACACAAAATTGATATCAATTAAGATTTATGTTTTGAATTAATTTGATGAAAAATGACAAATTTTAACATTCTACTTGATAAAGTAGCCATGAATTTAGTAACTACTGATAATCAATTATTTCATGCAAAGGCATCTCTAGATTTTAGGAAAACCAACAAACAAACTAATGTGCAGTAAATCAATTATCAGAATGATAATGTATAATAATTACTATGAATTGTAGAAATGTTTTCAAAATACAGATTTTATTTATTTTATTCAAGCTGGAACCCAAGACACCAGTTCAACATGCAATCTTTTCAGCCTCAATAAAAATGAACATTCAATTTTCTCTTGTTGGTGGTTTAGAAGAGTACAATGAATCATAGCAAGAACATGATTTAAAAACAATATAGCCTTTGACCAGGCTGTCATATGCTGTGGCACAAGCAAAGGCGAAGCTGCAAGAGATAAGTTGGCAAATGCCACTTTTTTTCATGCCAAGTCCCTCTGGCTTGCTTTGCTCTCCAACACATCTCATGGCTTGGCCTTTGCCACAATGCAAAATAGCTTGCTGTTGTCTATATAATAACTATTAACAGCTTCTCGCCGTTTGTACATTGAGACATAGAAAGATCTGTCAACTGAATTAAGCCTTGTGAGGCTGAAAAGGTTCATTTGGCTGTCAGCTGTAAATTAGAGCATAAACGTACATTGTACAGTTATGTAATTAGTATCAATTTATGTTTGATAGTCAGATTCAAACTAGTTTTTAGAACTTTTGTATTAGTTGCTAGTCATGCAGGAACAAAGCCATTGTTGGCTTAAGCATTATATAACAAAGCTGTACATTGCAATCAAAAGAGTTTGAATTACTGATTATAATAAATGCCGCAGTCTATCTTGTTAAGAAGTTAACCCTTTGAGCCCTGATTTCTACAGACGAACTCTTCTTCCTGGTGTCCATATGTTTTGCACAGTGTCATTTAGGATAATTTGATTATGTGAAGTCTTTGATTGATCTGTTACTATTTTGCTCTCTGTGGCATACATGTTTCAATTGAGTTTGATTTTGTTTGTTTGTTTTTTTTTACAAGAAACAAGAGACTGATCAATTAAGGGCTAAAATGGTTACATCCTAACAGTGGCATGACTTTGCCAAGAGACTTGATTGATAATTATGTTAGAGTGGATAAGATTATTTTTCAGGATTAGAGGAACAATGTTCAGTCAAGACTGGATCATATTCATAGACCAACAAATAATTTCTCCAACATTTATTTGTCTCTAAACATTGCAATATTTATGGGCAAAGTTTTTGAACTGGCCATATTGTTTTTATTTACTTACAACTAATTATATGTTTGACAAATAACTGTGTATTACCAGTCATTGCAAGGGCCAGAATGACAATCTGTTCAATCACAGTCAAAATACAGTTTTACTACAAGCTGAACATGTCTGCAGTGAAAATGAATGTGAAATATAAGCTATATGTTAAATTGACAGAGAAAAGAGAAACATTATTTTAACAAAAAGAAGCAGAAACATGACAATACATAAAAGCCAGGAAAACCAAATAAAAATTACATGTTTTAAGCATTCAGGCAAAGCCAGTGTAATTTAATTGCCATTAATAAAATTGCACTAATTATATTTTCAAAATGTGCTGGTGGTGAATACGTGCCACCTTCAATGTTTCCTGAATGCGGATCAATCATTGTGATATTGTTACCAAGAATGTCTTGTTATTTCAATCCAGTTTTATTAACTACAAGTAGAAGAAATACAATTTCATGATAATAATTATAGCTATTCCAGGATGTGATCAAAATAACGGTCTATGTTCAGTTATGGAATAACTACCCTTCATGACAGAGTCAGTATCTTTCACGGCAGTGCCATGATTGAGTGCGAGACACTTTATGATATAATCTCCAACCATTTTACAAATCGTAAAGTTTGCATTGTGATATTCAAGGTAACAAAGAGACTTAAGTACAAATAATTATTTTAGCTATATTTTTAAACCTACTAAAATGAGTAAACAATCTCCATTGTAAAATAGAAACAAACTTGTGACATGTCTTACAAACTTTAATACCTGCATAGATATACATTTCTTTGCTATGATTTTTACCTCAAAGCAAAAATCTGTAGCTATCTATATCATACTTAGCTGGAAATGACTGGACTTTCTTGGAAATAAAAATAAAATGAATAGATTGTGAGTTTATTTTATTTACTTTTTTTTTAACTTCCCCTAAACAACAAGAAGTTCTGTTATAGAAGGGACCTGGCAGGGTCTGACCATTCTGACGCCCGATTGTCAGTTGCCATCAAACTGTAAATAGCTGGTAAAGAACCTCTGTATTTTCTACAAGAGTTGCTGAATTGTGTTTAATTTTACCAAGAATACTTATCTAATCATACCTTTTTGGTACACTTTGGCAGCATAACAAGCAAGTTTGGTCAAGTGAGAGTTCATATGTTGGCTCAACTGCACTGCCCAAGTGTACCCAAAAAGCTATGCTTAGGTGTTCACCATAACCAAATTTGGCCAAGAACTTGCCTTATTAGGCTGGTCAGCCAGTCTTCTGATTGGCTAATTGCGTATTTGGGCATGGTAAAATTATATCATATTTTTGGCATTGGTTCTGTCCTGAAGCTGAATTATTCAGTTTGCAGGACACTTGACTCCACGTTTCATGACTGCTAAAGTAATCATTTGCATTTTCTGCTCAAAAGGTTTAAAACACATGAGGTACCATCCCTTTTATAGCCAAACTTTGTTGTGCAAGGTGACACATAGGGATGACCAGTAGCGTAAACTAGCCTGTCAGTCATCTCCTGACCTCGGCCTTATCCCCGCGCGAGAGGCACCTAAATTCTCAGCATTATAATAAAGTGACATCACCAGATGGAATTATAACACACAGAACTTAGGTGTTGCTCATGCAGGGATTAGGCTGAGGGCAGAAGATGACTGACATCCTTTATTATTATTATCCTTTATTATCTTTCCTCATGGGGGCTTTTCATTTCAGGCTAGATAACCAATGGCAGATCTAGGAAATGGTTGGGGAGCCTGGACCTCTTCTTTTGTCACCACTATTTTGGCATCCCCACTGTATGAACAGGCCTAGATTTGCTAGTGATGAAATTCTCACTTCCCCTGTGCTAGCCATCACTCCTTACTGATTTCAACAAAACCCTTGTAGAAAATGTGCATAGTGCAAGTGATCTCCCTGATTTTGGTGGTCCTCAGTTTGTTGCTAATAAGACCATGTTATGTGTTAAATAACGACCATCCTACCCATCCTGGGATGGAGAAATCAAGTTTGTCAAAGAAGGTCCATTTAGACTGATTTTTCATTAAGTAATGGGGGCAGAGTCTCACCAGCTGGACCCTGGAAATGAAACCTGTACAAATACAAGAAGTGTGAATTGTTAGTCCATCATATTCTTGAGAGCTATTGAACCGGATATACTTAAGTTAAATGAGGGTTTTTTGTATTTGTGAAACCTCTGGTTGTCCCGGGTTGGGGCGGGGAGGGACTCCCATACAAAAATGACAGGGGTGCTCATCATACCTTTTAGAGTTTACAAATGCAGTTTTGGTACCTGTTGGGGTGTTCAGCCTCAAAAGGTCCACAGATGGAGCTCTTGCGGTACCTTTTAGGGTACTGAGCCAAAAAGATATGACAGGAGATATTGTGTTATGTAAGAATCGGTACCTCTTAGGGTAGAAAAAAATTTCAAGCCACCCTCACAAAACCGGATCTTGTTACCTCATCATTTGTCTCCATTGGCCTGGGGAGTGGTCAATTATGATTTTATTTAGATTCATTTCATGCCAGATCTGTAGGGGAAAAAAGATTTTATTGAACAATGAAGCTGATACTGCATCTACATGTACGTACATGCCTCAGGTGTCACTTGTCATGAAGGATAAGTGAAGCTGAACCCATCTTGACAATTCTTCTGCCATTTCATTTTATCTTTCCATTATGTTAGACAAAAAAGCTAGCACTGTTTATGTGTACCTGAACTCTCCAGTGCATGGAGTTTCTTCCATGTTAAACTCTGCAACTGGGACGCCTTTCATAGCCAGCATTGGAGCAAACCCTGCTGCAGGGTACACCACAGATGATGTGCCAACCTGTAGGTGTACATGCATGTTCATAATTAACAATTAGATTATGCGCTCTCGATTTCTATGAGGTGATAGTTGATGAGGCCAAAGGCCAAATCAACTATCACCTCAAAGAAATTGAGAGCACATAATCTAATTGTTTTTAATTAGTAGAATTCTTACTAAAATTTACTTCAAATAACAATTTCCCATTATTTCTTGACGTATTATTAAGCTTTGCACCTGAAAAAGGTCGCTCGGATTGAATTGTCATTTAAAATTGAAGTTGTGTGTATGCGCATCAGTTTTTTCAATAATTTCAACTTTTTAAAATGTCAAGAAACCGTAAATGTCCTTCATTTTGACTTCTCAGGAATTTAATTATCCATGCTCATCAAAATGTTCCTTCAAAACTTTGGAAAAATGAAAAAAATGTCGCCATTTCCTAGATGACGTGCAATGGCTCAGCCAATTAGATTACAGCATTTGCATTAGTATACTAGTAGAATTGTACTACTACACTTTAGAAGAGAATTCTATTGGCATTTTAATGCGCAAGCTTTAGCCAATGATTAGCTGAGGTGATGTAAACTTGGCCATTACTGTGCTGTGGCTAGTGGTTGTCAAAAAAAAAATGGCAATGAGAGATTTCAAAAGGCTACAGGATGATCAAATTCCAAAAAAAGACAAAAAGTGTAGTCAAATACATGTACATGAGTGCATGTACACAGCTGCAAGTTTCAAATGACAATCAGTGTGTAATTTCCACCTCAAATGTAAAGAAATAATTAAAAACAATAATTATTATTGTTTGTGGGAAACTGAGTTAGACCCTACTGAAACAACAAGATTATTTACTAATAAACTATGGAAAAAATGATTATTTCTTTACCAAAAGACACATGTCACACTTATCTAAAGCTGCATTAGTAGCATTCAGTACACCATGGTCAAGGCTTTCTCCAAACCACACCACATGGGGACGGGCTAAGCTCCCACAGTTGGGCTGCTCACACCTGACAAAAGTAATGCCCTTTGTTACCTGTCTTGACAGGGTAAATTTGTTCAGATTGGGCCAATAACTAAAAGTGACCAATCAGACTGCTCTTTTGCTGATACAACATAATCTTACATGTAGTATTGTCCCAAATGATCCCATTCACTTTTCTTGTAGTTTTATGGCTACCATTTCCAGAGAAGATTCTCTACCATTTCTTCTAAACAATTTTTGTTAACATGTAATAAATCTCTCATTAACCAAAGAGTTTGTGCCAGACCCTCTTAGGAGGATACTGGAAATTTTACCCTGAGAATATACCTTGCTCTTTATTCTTACCGAACTCACTATGTTTGGCCCATACTGTCAAGACCTGCATGGGTCCAATATTCCCCCTAGTACAGCTCCCGTGCTTCGTTTACTGTTAATAAAAGTGAAAAAGTGTCCTTCAAGCAAATTTATTTCCTTTGTAGCCGGGAGATTTGGTGACCTGTAAAGGGACCGCGAGCTTCAGTCTGTAACCTGGAGACTTTCTGACAATCCAGGAGAGTTGGCATCCATGGGTGGATTTTACAAGTGCATGGGCTTCAGTGGCATTCTTGCATCTGAGACTATTTTAGGGGTGAGGAGGCTAATTATTCTTACCTAGGCAAATCTTCCTCTGGAATCTCAGCATCTTGAGCATCGGGATCTGGGGCACTGGATACCAAAATTGAAATAACTAGGTTTTTCTACCATCTTCAAAAGATGACAAAGTTATGGTTCATAACTGACAATCAATCAGTGATGTTTTAGAAGTCTAGAAATGTTGGGATTTTAATGCAATTAAATGCAATTTGATGGGTTCAACAAAAAAAGACGCAAAGACATGAATGATCATTGCAGTTATGTACACACAACTTAAGCAGCTGTTAGGAATTGAATTTGATGAACAAGTCATCGAAACGCCATTCAAAATTATTATCGCTGATTTTTTATTCTTAATTGTTTGTCGAAAGCCACCATTATTAGAAAACAAAGCTTGAATAAAAAATTGCTCTGCTGCAATCTTTCTCTGCATGTAAGTTCAAATATGTGGTCTTTCTTATATTCACTGGCACAAAAAGAAAGGCTGCCATTCATCAGGTAGACAGCAGTTCCTGTATGTTAGTGCAGGCATAGATAGAGTACCCATGATAGTTGTACATGTTTACAGCAAAGTAATTTTGAGTGTAAAATTTTAGAACTCAGGCTTTCTAAGAAGAAATTATTTCATGACAGAAAAAATACAACAAAGAAACAAATTTAACAAATACACAAAGACGGATTGAATGAACAAACAAAATAGTAAATAAATTAAAGAGATTAGACCATTAAACTACTGATGACAGAAGAACAAGTGGAAATGTCAGTTCTGGTAATCAAGGCAAACAAAAGTGTACTGAAAAAAATGCTCATTCTCTTACAAGCCTGCAAATAATTTTTGTCGATAGGCAGGTCAGGACAAAGACAAGTTTTGACCTGACAAAAAGCCAGTCTGGTTGGACAAAAAAAACTGTTTGTCGTTAGACATTAAAAAGAGACATTTGAGGCATTTTGGTATTTCAGTGTAGACTCTTCGCCAAAATATTGGTTGCAAATTCAAATAGCTTAAAAGTCAACTGAGTGTAAAATCGTTACTTAAGGTTACAGTATACCTNNGATAAAATATTGTAAGATCTAGTCAACGAAACGGTCACTCACCATGAAGTTCTATTACATCTTCCGTCCCAGCTCTTTGATGTAATTCATCAATATTCTGTGTGATGACAGTCACACTTTTCCCTTCATTTCTCAACTTCTTTTGAAACTCTGCAATCGCATAATGCGCCTTGTTTGGCTCTTTCGTTAAAACCACCTCCCGCCTGTAACTGTAAAACTCCCATACTAATGACGGGTCCCTGTGAAAGGCTTTAAGGGTCGCTAAATCTTGAGCTCTAAAAGTTCTCCAAAGGCCGCCAGAGCCGCGAAATGTGGGAATCCCACTCTCAGCGCTTGCACCGGCGCCTGTAAGAACAACCACGTTTTTTGCTTTGTGCAGCAGGTCACGGAATTCTGCCTTGTTATCACTGGTCGTGTGAAAAGAGCTTTTAGCCATGATGATGTTTCGAGGGGTTTCAACCGCTCTTGACCACTGCCTAAACTTCCGCAATGCAATCATTGCACTGATCTGGACTTTGTTTATAACATGACGAAATGCAAAAAACGACAGGCATTCATTTTACTTGTGTTGTCAACGTAGAGACTGGCACTACTATTTCCAGTTTCACTCGTGTATCGTTGCTCGAATCAAAATGGCGGGCCACTTTTCAGGTAAGTAAATCAAAGAAATTTTCAGTAACAATTCTGTTCCTCAGTTTGCTCATGGCTTTTAGACCAAAAAAACTTAAAGCTGTTCTTCCGAAAACCATTGTGACTTCGTTTGAAGCTAGTATTCCAGGACTTTTGATGCCGTTTCTTACTGTTTTTGGAGCACGTGTAAGCTTTAGCTTATTAAAAACAAGAAAATCCCTATTGGGTTCCGCTTGCCCATGGTTGGAAATTTTCAACAAAGCTTCGAAAGTGATTCGGCTTACTATATCGTCGTGTGCCACTAGCTTGCTGAATTATTTTGGAAAGGGATGGTTATTGTGTAAAATTCTTTGCTTGGACGTCCCATACTGCTGAGCCCTATTAAATTTAATGAAGGGTACAGTCTATAAGCTTAATCCCCTCCAGGATCCTGTGAAACAAAGCAGTTTCAGTCTCATACACTTCCCTTACTTCTTCCAGTGAAAATAAGATTTTCTTGTGTTTGGTTGGCCCAGAGGATAAATATGCATGTAGGTATGGTGGGGGAGGGGAGGTTTAGAGGGGTGAGGGTGTCAAGCTGTAGCAAATCGGCCTCAGCTCAAACGGTAACATAATTTTTATATGTAATTTATTTATTGTAGCAGGGGCGGATCTAGGGGGAGGATGTAGGGGGTGCACACACCACCTCCCCCCTCCCGTGAGATGAAGCCTTCTTCTTTGTACTGGCTTTTAAAATTTGTTTACCTCACCAATCAGTTACGCAATTCCTTAGTGGTGCACCCCCTCCTGAGAAAAATCCTGGATCCGCCCCTATGTAGTCATGTAATTTTTAGAGTCATAAATATGCAACACTGCTCTTCATGTAAACTTGACATGCAGTTATGGAAGGTACTTAGGAAGGTACCTCTCTCTTAACTGCAACAATGCCTACACAGCGCGTAATAGACTATCAGACAAACGTGGCCCTTAGATGGTAGATGATTTACTTTTTTTGTCTCTGTTTTCATTTTAAGAGTTTGGCCTTCTACCAGAAATGTGCAAGGGGGTTGAGGAAATGGGATGGCTGTAAGTATCCAGAAAGATGTTAGAATATGTTATTTCTCAAAAGTGAAATGCAAATCAACAAAAACAATTACGCAACGATGCTTTTCATGTCAAAACAAGTCAGTCTGTCAAAAATTAGTTTGATCCTGCAAAAAATAAAAATCGGCCCAAAATGCTATATACGCCCTTTTTGCACGAAAGCCTTCAATTATAAACTGCATCATAATAAACCTTCATATCAAGGTTCTCCTTGGTTTTATTTATAATTTTTTTTTTACAATATACCTTTATGAAAGTTGTGTGTGAAACTAAGACCATTAGACATCCCTGCAAAAAATCTTTGAAGATCCTTGAAGTATTTTCATAGCAAGGAATTAAACACTAATGTGTTAGCTGTTATCTATCTCTTTTGTGACTAGGGGTCGCATAAGGGACCGTTCATTTTTTATGAGGGAGGGGGTGCTGGTGGGATTTGGGAAGTACCATTTAAAAATCGCATGACCCCCCCTCAGCTTACC